TGCGGCCGTGGAATCGCATCAATACGGCAGCATCGTAAAACAGCTCCGTCGCCAGGCCGGCGTAGATTAGATAGAGAGGTCGCCTTGGGCCCCGGCCAATGAAGAAGAGGCCGAGGGATGAGAGGGAGAGGACGTGGTGAGCGACAAACTCTGCAGAATAGCTGAGAAGTGGCAGCTCAGAGGTCCAGAGGATTGCTCGAGAAGCAAGGCAAACTTTGCCATTGGTGGTGAAGGGGCGGTCGAGCCCAAATATTTCGGTAGCGGGGGACGTGTCGTTGTATGCCGCGATACATATGGGTGTTGAGATCAGTGTCAAGAGGAAACCCAGCGGGAAGACAAAGTAAGGGGCCAATTTGCGATGCTTGTCCGTCTCCAACGTCTTATAGAAGTCTGGGTTTGCTCGTTTGACTATCTGATGCGCACAGCGGTTCACGAGCTGATAGGCCATCAGGCCCGCGACGAAGAGTGCCCAGTCTGGGGCTATCATGATGTTCGAATCAATCTGATGCGAGGCAGCGAGGCATCACATAGCGAAGGGTGACGACGGGAGCCAACAGCCTTTTTATGGCGATAACAGTAGTTGTGACTGCGAGACTGCGGAGTATTAGGGACATCAGCTCGCCGACCGATATGTCTCTCTCTCGGGCCTCGATGCGATGGGTAGCTTCATGCAGATCAGCCAACACAACATGCGTCTTTCTGCCTTGCTTAGCGATAGCCGACCAACGTTGTTGATAGGAGATGACTGGCATCTCACGTAAGCCTCTATGCGGCTGATGTGCCTCGCAGATATATTGCAGCATTGCCAGTCTGTATGGGATAGTCGTAAATAGAATACAGACGGCGTCCGATAATGCATCATTTTGAGTCACAATTGGTTAAGGTAGTCTCAGTGTGATTTGATCGACAGCGAGGATGAAGAGCCAGCGGTTGAAAGGTATCGCATGTTGAAGGTCTTCAATATGTCATTTCATCAGCCAAACTGGCTCCGAACTCAATGCTGGAGGCAGAAGTCGAGGCTCGGGGACACGGCACTGTCATGTCTCGGCATTTACATGGTGCGGCCGTTCGATCCGGAGGTGGAGCCACGGAGCCGGCGTGGCGCATGTCTAAAGGCAGAAGTATGTTGACGATGTTGGAAGTTTGGGACGATAAAGTTTATTCGTAGAGCGCCACGAGGGGCTGTTGATCTTGGCCGGCGTGCCATGATCCCGCGATGAGGCTCGCCTGTAGGGTTTGCGGGAGTGTTAATCTCGGGGGATTCCTTCGCCAGCTGGACAAGGATGGCGCAGGGATGACTCTCAATCCGCAGGCGATGCTTCGACTTTCGAAAGTGATTGAAGTTGAAAGAGGAAACGAAACAAAGACACCCCTGCCTTTCGACTTGCGTATTTGCCCGTATCCATGGGTTCTCATACAATACCAGAGACTGCGGCTGTATGTACCTTATCCGTAGATGCAGCGAAGTCACGAAAGATGGAAAGACGTCGTGCCAGGTACGTACTTGATAGGCGCCGTCCGGGGATTTCGGGTGCCGTTGGGAGGTCAGGGGGAAACCTGAGGTTCCTAGGTTGGTGAGGCGGGTCATGGTGCTAATTTAATGGGGTCTTGGAGGCTCAAAGCTGTCAGTTTTCTGAGAGGCACGTGATTGGGCGCTTTGTACGGTCCATGGAGCAGGTACGTACCCCGTACCGTAGATGCCCGCATGCTGTACTGTCAGACAGTTACTGTGCAGGTGCCCCCTATTTGAGGCAGGAAATTGAGAGTTCCATCCAAATTCCCGGTGGCCTTGGCACTGCGTAGCGACTGGCTTCGCTACAAGGTTTGGTGGGGCCAGCGGGGACACGTACAGTGCGAACGGGGACTAAGGTTCGTTGCGGTCGAGACCTTCCTTCCGCGGGCAGTCTCCAGGTGTTCTTTCCTTCTCCAGTTGCCAATCCCTCCCCTCGGTGCCTTCCCAAATCCCACAGCCCGCTGTCCCTCTCCTCTTTCCTCAGCTCACTCCAGTAACCATCTCAACATCTCACTCACCCACCCACGTGCCACTCTGACCCTCACTCTCACACTCACTTTCACTCTGAATCGCACTCAATTTGACAAGACTTGTCAAGACACCAAGCCAGCCAATGTCTGGGAACAAAACGATCGCCAGTTTGACTTGTCATCGCCCAAACACTCGCGATGTGTTGGCAGCCCGGCAGCTCACACGGCAACCGGTGGCACTCGCCATAAGTAGCTCATATCCCCCGCGGCGTCCGGCTCTCTACCGTCGTGTGATCTGCCTTGGCCGAACCGATCGCTCCTTGGCGTACATAAACAACACAATGCCCAAGCCTGCCGGTTATGCAGTCATAGCCAAGCAAGCTTGAAGATAGGGATGTGGATGTGGGATGTTGCCCTGTTTTTGATTTTCATCTATCGACGTCTTGCTCGCATTCTATTTTCCGTCGCGCGTGTCTGGACCTGTAACTCGTATCACCCTCTCATAATTCGTATCCAACCCGGTCTGCCTGCCATCTGACAGCTTTGCCTTGCGCACAAGGCGAATGAGCTGAGCAGAGCTGACAGCCTGAAGCGGCCCGAGCTGACATGCCATCCGAGGTGTTGCAGCTGACTACCTAACTTTCATATTACAGCAAGGTGCAGTACGCAGATTCACCTGTTGGGATGAGACGCAGACACGAGCTCTCACTTCTTACTTGGTTCTTACCGACATACAACTTGCATTTTGACCTGATTCTTAGCTATTGTTTTGCTTTCGATTCCGTTTGTTTGCTTGGCATTCTCCGGCACTCAATCCCCTTCTGCTCTGCCACCCTTTGTTGCCCTTCATTGTATCCGTACAACCAATCCTTCCCTTAAAGTTCGCGTTCCTGGCCTGGACCATCCCTCCAACGGCTCTTCCCATGTGTCGGACGGCCGATCGCTGCTCATCCCAAAACCGCGAGTCAACGATCAGCGGCCACTCAGCGCAGTAGTACTCTGTCCGACGCATCACAGAGCACCACCGGGCCTCAGCCTCTCAGTCGCACTCAACATCAATCTCCCTCGCCGGCCCTGAGACGCCATCGCCATCGCCAAGACGCTGCTGAGCCTTAGCTCTGGGCGACCCCTGGATCCATCGTGCCTCCGTCCCCATTTTGTGCTTTTCGGAGCTTCAGAGGCATCACCTATATCCACATGGAAGGTCCATTCAAGGCAGGGCTCATTCTGCCCTCTGTGATCCCCTTGCCTAACCCTTCGGAGCGTAGGATGCCCGTGGGCCGTGAGTCGCGACAATCCCTCCTAGTGAGCCCCTCGTAACCTGAAGGATGACGGGCAGAGAGAGGACTCCCGAGTCCCCGCGTATTTTGCGAGGAATGAGTCTTGGCAATGTTCGTTGTCGGGTAGGGATGGCTGGTCCTGTTTGAGAGAGGCTTCTTGACGTGCTCTATGGCAGGACTCGTCGTCTTGGGTTGTCCTTGAACCCAAAGGGTGTCTGGTCAATCGCAGTTCGTCCCTATCCGTCTGTTCCCAGCCGTCACTGGCGATTGTCCCATTGACATTGAGCTGTAAACCATGTCATACCCCATTCCCCCAGCCTATCCATTCATGCATCCATCTCTCTGGTTCTCTCTCTCCCCATAGAGGTTCACTCGGTGGGTGTGGCCCGTGTTTGCATTCAACGGCCTGTCTTTCGGTTTCCGGGTCTCTGCTGCATGAGGTGAGGTGATCCTTCGTGCTGCCCGCGTTGCTTGCCCTTGCAGATGGCGAAAGAGGCAAACCATGGACCGTGGGACCGTAACCGCCCTGTGAGCCTTGGATAGAATGGATAGTCCCGAGACTGGCGGCATCCCATGAAATCCATCTGGTCCATTTGGTCCAAAGGGGGGCCCTTGCTCCTGTCGAACCTTGTGAAGGGTGCTCGAGTGCTGCCCGGCCAGGCACCTTCTCAACTTCTCATTTGCTGCACAGCCCCGATGCCCAGAAGGCCAAGACTTTACCAAGAATACCAAGACTTTGGCGGCCACCAAGACTGATTTCTACCGCGTCATCCTGTGCCCTCCTGTGGTGTGTCTTCCGTGTCTGTTGATTCCCATTTTCTTGTGTTCCCAAAAAGCCCAGAGTTGCCGAGAAGGAAGAAAAAAGTGGTCTTGAAAGCCTGTTTCCCCCCCTTTTTCTTCGCTTTTCCCGTGCATCCTGAACCTGAGCTGTGAGAAGACAAAGCTGTGTTGGCTAACCTGCCACCATCCCCAACTCACACCCGTCCATCGTTTATTCCTCCGCCTCAACTCGAATAAACATACACTGCTTACACACCAAACTACAACCTTCGCTTCATTTCTCACCGCCGGATTTTCACTTTCACATACCAGCGGAATCCCAATTCAGGGAAATCAATCGTAGTAAATAAAAATTGACACTCGCTTCCGACGACGAATACGAAGTTCCGACCGACCGATCCATCGACACCTCACCGCAGCCACAGTTTCTTTTACTGCCCCTTCCACCTTTGGCGTTGCCCATTCATGAACAGTCGCTTCTCATAAACGAAAAACCTTCTTTTTCAAACTTCGACACTGCTTTCATTTTCAATCACAAGCGACTTCATTCGGTTGAATTTCAACTCACTCGTTCTCACCCGGAACCGCTCCGACCGATAAATCGATTCGACCGCCTCCTCCACCCGATTGTACGGGATCTTGAAGTACACCTCACCAACCTTGATACCTTCATTCAAGCAGCGCTCTTCATCTTCGTCCGCAGACCGGCTCTTCGCCATGGTCGCTTCACTCGCTTCTGCCGCTTCGGCGGCACTCTTGCTCGTCAGCAGCCTCCCGGCCGTCAACGCGCAGTACACCATCGACACAACTGGTAAGCAAGCCGAGCACCTCTCACCCCACGATCATTCTCCCCGCCTCATGGTGAAATGCAATGCGACTCATCTCAACAAGCACCGTTCCCCCTGCTAACGCCGCTTCTTTCCCCACGATTCAGAAAACGTCAAAAAGTCAGCAAAAATGCTCGCATACGACCTCATCAAACAATACAAGGGCAACCAAACCGGCGAGATCCCCGGTATTCTACCCGGCCCGCCAACCGAGCACAAGGGCGACTACTACTGGTGGGAAGGAGGCGCCATGATGGGCACATACATCGACTACTGGAAGCTGACGGGCGACTCGGCCTACAATGACCTCGTCATGGAGGGCATGCTTCACCAGACCGGCCCCAATGCCGATTACATGCCGCCAAACCATACCGCATCGCTGGGTAACGACGACCAGGGCTTCTGGGGTATGTCCGCCATGTTGGCCGCAGAAAACAAATTCCCGAACCCGCCCGAAGAAAAGCCTCAGTGGCTGGCACTGGCGCAGGCCGTGTGGACGACGCAGGCGAGCCCTGACCGCCACGACGATACCTGCGGTGGAGGTTTGAGATGGCAGGTGCCGTTCTCCAATGCTGGATACAACTACAAGAACAGTATGCGACCCCCGAGCCGAGTTGTGGGAGAATGTTTGGGACGTAGAGGTAACTAACACGCCACAGCCATCGCAAACGGATGTTTCTTCAACATTGGCGCCCGCCTCGCCAGATACACCAACAACGACACGTACGCGCAGCACGCCGAGAAGACCTGGGACTGGCTCTGGGCCGTCAACTACATTGACCACGAGTCCTGGAACGTTTACGACGGTGGCCACGTCGAGCACAACTGCACCGACGTCAACAAGCAGCAATTCTCCTACAACGCGGCTATTCTCACGCAGGGCGCCGCTTTCATGTACAACTACGTAGGTGTCACCTCACGAATGGAGCTTAAAATACCCTAGTTATGACCTCATACTGACCCGTCTCCAGACCAACGGTTCCGACGTCTGGAAAGGCCGCATCGAAAAGATGACAGAATCCCTCTTCCTCAACTTCTTCCCCAACAACACCGCCTACGAGCTGGCCTGCGAGGGCCGCAAGGGCCAGTGCACCGCCGACATGTTGTCCTTCAAGGGCTACGTCCACCGCTGGATGTCCGTCGTCACGCAGGTCGCCCCCTTCATGAAGGACAAGATCCTCCCCGTCCTCAAGGAGTCGACGCAGCACGCCGTCAACCAGTGCACGGGCGGCGCCGAGGGCCGCACTTGCGGCTTCTACTGGAATGAGCAAGTCTATGTCGATCCGGCCGTCGACAAGACCTCTGGTGCTGGCGAGGTCATGAATGTTTTGGCCGCGGTGTCGAGTCTGCTTATCGAGGATGCCGCGCCGCCTGTTACGAATATGACGGGTGGTATCTCGGCGGGTGATCCTGATGCTGGAAGCAAGAGTAAGGACAATATTGAGCCGGAGCCCATCACGACGGCGGACAAGGCCGGTGCGGGTATCTTGACTTTCATCGTCCTTGCTGGCGGTCTGGGTACGTGGGGATGGATGAGTCTGGGTGACTGAGGTGGTGGGGAAATGTGAGAGAGCCCGAAGAAAGGAGGCATGAGATACCTAAAGTAATGGGTTGTTTGATTTGTTGTACGGATTACATATCAGGATCGCATGGCATGGCGTTCTGGGTAAACACTGCAGGAGGGGAACTTGACTAGCTACCACTGCCACGAATTACTTTTCTTACTTTAACCACTTTGAAATATTGCGACCTGGTGACCTACATTGTCGGTGAAATGACGCTATCAGAAAGCTCAACAAATCGTTGCGACTTGCGAATACTTCCACACCCGAGAGAAGAAGTGTGACGATGTTCAAGCCTCAGCTATCGGCGTATTGAAACTACATCAAATACCAGCCTCAGCTATCAGGAAACTTGTACGCTGCATATCTCAAAGTCCGCTCTCGGTTCGCCTCGCTGTGTGGCGCACGCCGTCTGATGTTGAGTGACTGGTGCAAGGGTGCTGCCTGTGCAGGGACGAAGTCTATCTGTGGCTAATATTGGACATGGTGGAGTGATTGCGGAATGCTCCGAAGTCACTCTCGCTATCGGTTCCAAATTGATTCGGGGCGTTGTTGTCCGTTCTCTTGATCCAGTTGATGGAAGCATTGAACCACGAATCAGAAACTGATTGACTTGTAACAGAGTAATAATATTCTGGCTCTTATTAAGCCATTCCGAGGAGACGGGTCGTTTTAAGGCTACACAAGTGTGCATCCTAGGTTTTAAGCTTATCGGGGGTTCCCCATAAACGTGCCGAATATCCGCCCTCACGACAGTCGCTCCCCATGGACTTTAGTGTCTGGCAACGGTGAGCGTGAGCATGTGAGCGCTTAGAGTATCCATATTACTCCAAAATCCAGCAAGTTCAAGCGAGATAGTCAATTCAGGGCTTTTCATGGACGGAGTGGAAGAATCTGAAGAGTCGAAGAGTCGAGCTGGGGGAGGACTCAGGGTAGCCCATCTCGCTGAATCGCTTTTCGAATTCTTTAGACACTCTCTAGGCTTCCAAGTGAAAATTGCCTGACTTGCCTGTGCAATCAAAAAGGAAGAGACGTAGAACCCGTTCTCTGATATCCAAGAATCCCAAACATGTCAGAGCCAAAGCACTGCCAGAGGTACAAATCTGAGGCTCAGCCAGACATGAGCGTTGGTTGGATTTACCCAGACCAAGGCGGAAGGACAGACGAATATGAAAATCTACTAGCCGTGGGTTCTGATAGCGACAGACTGAAAACGGTATTGATATCATGTTGAATACAGGGAGGACATGTCATTTTTTGTGAACATCACATAAGCCGGCATTCATGAGCCCTCAGGCCTCGGATAAATAGTGAACAACACGTCACTAGCCTTTCCCTCTCGGTTCTTTCCAACGCTCTCGGAAAGGTTTTCTAGAAGTTTCGATGAGAACGCAGTGATAGGAAAACTGAATCTGTGGAGCGGCGGACCACTCGGCATACGGTGAGTGTACTTAGGTGGCCGTTGATTTCTCAAGTTCCCAAGCCAATCGCACCAGGTCATCAACGAGACAATATGTGCATTTTGACTATCTTATTATTTTGGACACCAAATCGTGCCTCGTTATCGCGTTAAAAAATTAAAATTAATAAAAATAAAAAATAAAAAACAACTCGGCGTTGCGCTGTATGGTTGTTCTTCGAGCTTCGTGAGGCCAATTGTAATGCGGTGTTGGTTGTGTTAAATGTCGTTCGGTGAGGACCAGGGGTAAGGAACGGCACCTCTGATCGACAATTGAAACTGCAGTCGACGGCTTGCTTGTGCGAGAGACAAAGAATTGCTAGAAAGACGGGAACCGAACAAAATAACCACGACAAGGAAACACTACTAAGTAAATATGCAATAAGAACGTGTTTCAATGGGCCGAGAATTCCAGCTTGCAATCCGTTGATAGATTATGATCCAAATTCAAGCGTAATTGGGCAGAATTTGAAGGTTCGGGGCTGCATCGGCTTGCGATGATCGTCACGTCAAAGCTAGCAACTCCCACCGGCAACACCAGATTAGACGTAATCAGAGCTTTCGATCGCTCGAGTCGTGGATAGACAGATCTCCACGCGCACTTACAGCGGCTCGTAGTTTAAACATGCTCAGTCGGTGAGTCCTCTCCCCGAAACAGCCGCTGAGATTTGTGCCGATTTGCCGCCTAACCAATCACGAGTTGTCAGCATGGCTAATCCCAGTAAATGGGCATCGTATACTCGCTACGAAAACCCGCCGTAACCCAGTCGCAACCCCCTTCATTTGAACTCGGCGAGTTTTACCGCTCAGAGTCAATCATCGAAACGACCAGCTTTGAGTCCTGGTTTACTCCCTATGTACGGAGTAAACCGCAGCCAACACTACTATAAGATGGATGTAACCTAGCGTCTTGGCCTTTTCTTGTCTCCCTCGCACTCTGCAGCTGTACTGACCTATCATTCTGATTCATTCACTCTTTTCTTGAAACAGCCAAGATGCGTTCATTCTCTTCCATTGCCGCTCTCCCCCTCGCTGCGCGAATCGTCGCTGCTGGCAAGTACGATGCGTGGAAATTCGGCAACATGTTCACCCTTGGCTCCGACAGCAGCGTCATCACCAAGGCCACTTACACTCTCGTTCCCCCGTCCATTCCCTGCGGCACCGTCATCAGCAACCAGAATGACCAGCCATGGATGTCAATCTGGGTCGGCATCTCTCAGTCCGTCAGCGACCAGGGCAGTGATCTCTTCCAGCCTCTTTTGAACTGGGCCCCCGATAACTCTGCTGCGTGAGACATCTCCGGCTCTAGGCTTCTTTTTATCATCGACTGACGAGACCTTTTCATAGCGGTTGCCCTGCCTCCAACACCGAGTGGTGCGTTGCTGCTAGCACCTTCACCGGTTGTAAGTTTCAAAACACAAAAGCCGCCGATTAGGAAGGGTATACTAACAAGTCGCAGCCACCCAGGTTGCCCAGCCATACATTGCCATTCCCTCCAAGTCCGACGTCGACTTTGAGCGTACGTTTCAGATGCCTGTCTCTTGACTGTAGTAGCTGACTGTGTTTTAGTCGTCTACGATGCCTCCAAGGGGGTGACCCAGAAGGTTTGGATCAACGGCGCCATGGTCTCCCAGCAGACCGACGGTAAGTATTTTCTCCACCTCCCTCAACCAACGAGACAATACTGATGCAGGAACCTAGTGGACGGCAACGGCAAGGGCCCTACCTACATCTACTCCAGCAACGAGTGTTACCAAGGCGCCTGCGGAACCCTCCCTGCCTACAGTAAGTTGATTGAGCCTGCTATCTTGAATTGTATTGTGTTTTTATGCGCTAACTTTATACTCTCAGGCTGGAGCAACCTCACTGTCACCCTTGCCAAGGCCGACAAGACCTTTGGTGATTCTCTTCAGCTTACCGGCGCTACCTCGACTGGCGTTAAGACGACCGACGACGGCAAGACTTGGCACGTTGACGCCATCAAGATCAACCAGGATTTCTTCTACACTGACGGCTCGAACAAGCAGTGCTAAGTTGTCAGAGACACACCAAAGCGGGTGACCTAGTTAGACCATCTTCACTTTAGGGCTCAGCAGCCACTCCTCGATCTTCTTCAAGCCAATTTTATCATTGATCTTGCTTGATGTATCCAAATTTTCCCTTCTCCAATCAGGCGAGCGCATCTGAGATGTTACCGACCCAAGTACCTTGTTCGAGCCCTTGTCAATAACAGTAGGTCTGTCCTCTCCATCGACCATGATGTTCCCAGGATTCAGATCGTTGTGGGCAATCCAAAGAAAATGTAGATATCTTATGCCAGCTTGGATGCCCTTTCAGTAGCGAACCTATGTGAACGAGAGATCGACCACAACCTTCCACTCGTTTTGCAGGACTCATCGCATGACGCTTCAACAAAGTTCCAACAATGCGCCCATTCATCTACGAGCACCACGTGGACTCCGAACCTGGGTGAGGATCGTATCAAATACGCTGATATACTCTGATCTCATCGGCAAAATCAGCTATCAGTTTGGTCCCTGCGACCGGAGAGTAGACAACTACGTTGGATCGTTCGAGTCATCTGTCATCGGCAGGAGTGAAGCTTGGATCATGAATCGCAGCCGTGCCAGATAACGGGAGCGGGCAGATTTTGGACTTCGGAATATGGCGAAGACAGATGATGGCTTGTTCTAAATTGAATTATTTCTTGGCAATCTCGGTATCACCAATACATGCTGTGTGTTCGTCGTTGTCGACCAGGAAGAACCTAGTGCATTTGAAGTTGATATCTCCGTTCTCGTATTCCTGAAAGGCCTTCATTAGACCGGCGAAATCCATAGGACTGCGTGCTGCAGTCTAGGCTCCATGGTTGGAGAACGTGTTCTCCTGTTTGTCGATATCCTCTCTGACTCAGTAAACTTTTGACTTAGAAATTGGCGAGATCGGTCTGACATTACTATCAATATTGAGTTTGAAGTATGGAGAGTAGTGCTGAAGCTAGGATAACGCAGCAAATAACAGTCGCAAGGAAAACCTTTGTAGGCAATAATGGGGTTGCTGAGCATCATTTTCAGTGAGGTGTAGGCAAGCGTGATAAGCAATCCACATGCAGATTCTAGCTCAAGCCAGTGTAGGAAGTAAGTCCGGTTGATGTTTTGCTGATAGAGACACACTCCGTCATCCGAACTACTAGACTAACAGAATCACCGGCTTGTTGTGATCCTCCATGTCTCTGTCTACATGCCTTATGGTGATAGGCAGGCACCTCAAATAGCACACTTCAGGTACGGTGGGAAGTTAAGTATGGCACACATCAATAAGTCGAACATCGATCTTGTTTCTTACTTTTGACTCGACAGATATATTTGATAGAATGTTTTTGTGTACTTTGAAGTGTAAAGAGAGTTCCCTGATACTAGGTTTGAACGGGCTGTCTAATGATCAACCCAGTCGATCACAACAACAATCTCTGGCCCATCATGAACTGCCTGGCCAGAAGGAATCCTTTAAGGCACAAGGGATCTGACTTTTGGAATATCTCTGCTCCATTTCTCCCCATGATAGTCCTCTTGCGGCCAATATTTCTCAAAACAATCCTCTGCCTCCCTCTGGTTCGTCAGCATTAGCTCTAGACCCAGTTCTGTCGCCTTACACGACCAAAGTTCAGCAAACCGCAAGTATTCCACGCCAGCCCAAACCTTCGGCTTTCCCTCATGCTTCTCTCCGCAAGTGTCACAGTAGCAATTGATGGCTGTATCGACATAATTGCAAATCTTCTTGTTCGACTCTGAATACGAGATCGCAGGGCCAGTGAGGTCAACGAAATAAATTGTGTCAACACTTGTAAAAATACAAGTGAGGAGTCGGAGTGGATGGTATCTCTTCTCCTGGAGCCTCCTATACAGTCGCTGGGGTTCCTTGGGGTACTCAGGTGTGTGTGAGCGTCCACTTATGTATGACGAGTTTGTGATGGCCGAGCATTGACTTTCATCTTTCAGAAACTCCTTGAGCCCCCCGACCGTGTCTTCAATCGCCCGAAAGGTATCCATCTTCATGTGCATGCGATTGAACAGTATTTGAATATCGGTACCCGAACTCATCGCTTGCCAGTTGTGAACACTCATGGCGATGGTTTTCAAGCCTTTAAACACGTCATCCAGGCAAATGACTGCCATTGAACCAGGTTTATCGGGGACTAGTCGTGCTCCTGGGGCTTTATCTTGATCCGTGGGGAAATCTACGAAAGAAAGATCTCCCGCTTGAAGGATGTAGGGTTTGCCCACTGTGTCGATGACCTCGGGAATCCGGCCCTTGACAAAGCGGCATTGAGTATTGCTAAAGTCAGCCTGTTCATTTTGAGCCGGGTCTTCGATGTCTTGATAACTAGGGCAGCAATCCAGGGCCGCATCGATGAAAGCACGGGACGTCAAAAGTCCCCAGTTCTGAGGGTCCAAACGTCCATTCAATATGGAACGTGAGAGTGGCCATAGAGTGACGTTATTTGGCAGCTCGTCGTAGCATTTACACATCTGATTTTGAGAGTGTTTGGATTTCTCTTCGCACCTCTGTTTATGTACCACAGCATGTCTGACCCTGAAGAATCGCATGTTGGGTACCTGCTATTCCCCAGACTGCGAGTTGGTTTGTTGTGGATCGATGTCGCTTGGAGGGAAGGCATCGCTGACGAAGGTGTCCATCTTGCCGGTTATTAGGGTTTGAGTGATACGAATGCGTGATGCTTGATGTAACCGCTCACAGAATGCGATTCTACTTCCTTGTGGAGGAGTTGAAGAGTCGCAGTCTTAACCCACGGAATGATTCTTATATCTTTGGGGGTATGTTGAATTCTAGAAACAAAACCGGCCAACGGAGTCATTCGCGAATAGCGTCTTTGTTGCAATTTACCTGATCACCGGTCGGTAAATGATCTTGATTGCCAAACAAAGACACGAAGTCAGGGGCTCTTTCAATGACTTGTATCACGGCCTCTTTGTCCTTGAATGTTGTTCATGAGATACCCGATAGGCCCATAAAGCCTTCGATGCCATGAAATGTCCCGGCTGTTTTTTTGACTGACAGATGATCGTAAGAAGGCAGTTGCTCCTTTTGTTGGTGCTTAACTGAGCCAGACACTTATCCAAGTAAGCGGGATCTAGAGGCTAGTCAAAGCTTATGTCCAAGACTATATGTGCTTGTCACAGCATCGGCGATTACGGTGTAACCCAGTCCAGGTGAGCCTGTAGAACCTCAATGAAAGAGGCTGTCAATTATGGCATGATTTCACATAGGTACTTGCGTTGAGTGAGGCGCAAATTCAGTGTGTGAACAATATCTGATTTTAGGTTTCTGTCCTTACTGGTGTGCTTCGGGTCATAAAGGAAGATTCCTTTCTTCAATAAATACTTTCACCGCAGCAGCTTCTTCTCCACCAATCGAAGCTACGTTTTCAGAGTCCCATTGGAGAGGTATTCTCAGTTATTCTTAGGTCAGAGAGAAATCTGCCCTGCAGAATGGACTGACGCCTTGATCATAATTGCGGCTGCATATACGTGCTTTGTAAGAGTGGTTTACATGAGGGTGTATGTCATATACAAGCCCTGTTTCAAATTAGAACATGGGACTCTACCTATTTGAAGCTATATAGATCTCCCATGGCCTTGGGTGACCATGAGCATATTCCCAACGGTGTCTGGGTTTAGCGAATTCTCGGCCTCTCTCAGAGCTTGAGCCACAGCAACAGAGCCCCGCTCGACAACGTCTGCACCATATGCTCCCATGATATCTTTGCGGTTAATGACCTCACGAACGCCTCTTAGCTTTGACAGTGCATTTATGTAGTTTTGCACATCAATGATCGCATGCTGAAGTCCCTGGCCTCGGACTGGTGATGGTGTTAGTTCCAAAAGGCTGTCCTCTTTGTAATCGCACAACCAAGTCTGACTTACACGGCAACATGGGATGAGCAGCGTCTCCTGCCAGGGTCACTCTTCCATCATGAGTCTCCCATGGACTGGGAAGCCAGTACTTCATTTCGTCAAGATAGCAAGAACTTCCTGCCGGCGTCCATTCTAGGGCAGACCGGAACGGCTCGCAGATGCCTGATAGATCCTTTTTTGCATAGTCAATGGCTTCTTGGCCATTCAGGCTGACGGAGTGGCCGCGCCATACTTTGACCCAGAAGGTCTCCCAACTGGCAACATCGTTCGGATCTTCCGCGGACATGACTGCAATCTTAGCTTAAACGCGTATGAAAAGCTGTCAAATATCCATATACTCACCACCACAACCAGCTAGGTTCGCCGTTCCAAGCATGAGCGCGCATACAGAGTGTGCTTTCACCACAGAGTTGACCTTATCTGCGTCCCCGTACTTGCAGACACAGTTCGCGATGGAGTATCCTGAGGGCACCGGCCTGGCCTTTTCAACCCCCATAAGCAGTTCCCGGACTTTGGAGGAGACGCCGTCTGTTCCCAAGACGTAGTCGGCTTCATATTTCTCTCCATCTCTGAAGACCAGGTCCATCGAGGTACTCCTGGGCACCATCTGATCGAGGTACTTGCCCCAGCGAACATCGAGCCCTTCAGCGAGGACTTTGCGAAGGCGTCGTCTGCTGATTCGCCGAGCGCCTGGAGTTGAATTTTGGAACATGACCTCGCCGGTAGCGCCGTTGTACCCGATGATACTCTCATCCCAATCGTTGAATTCTAGGTGCGGATTGCAAATACCGTGAGGGAAGTTCTTCACAATCTGCTCAGGTAACAGCTCTATGAGTGTGCTCATGCCCCAACCGATGAGGATGGACCAGTCGCGCGGTCGAGCTGCTATGCTTTCATCACGCTCAAACACTACCACTTTGAAGCCATTCTGATATCTCGCGTTAACATCTGGCACGGATCGGTGCAATACAGGCCCACTCACCTTTTTCAGACCTTGGGCGGCGATCAAGCCAGTTAACCCCGCGCCAATGATTGCAACCTTAGACCCATCATCCCAATGCTGGTCAGAGTTGTCGTTCGTGTTCTGGATTGCCATTGCGGTCGCGATCAATACACAATCTAAGGACTAGCCCAGCTGTATCACCACCAATGCTAAGGAAAGATGTCAAAAGCATGATGAAAATTTCAAACGGTTTCATTACCTCCGATTCTGCGGCGGACTTCCGTACAGAGAGTTCGACACGTGATATTGCTCGAGTTGCACAACTTAAGACGATCGCATCTTCGGACGAATATCAGATACTCCTTGCTAGATGGTGACGTAGCACAGTAGCATTGTTACCTCCGTCACAATGCTAGAGAATGCCCATGAAGGATTGTTTGCAGGCCTCATCGGCACTACTAACCGATAACAGGTTGCAAACACCGGGTCTAGCACCATCACGGCAATGTAGCGAGGGGGCCAGGTTTTCATACCTATCAGCAGGTAGTGGTCTAGAGTGAAGTTTGTCAACCATTGTCGGATGTGTTTGTGGGGCCGAAGGGATTCTCATGCTTGCGCTTGATCAGTCGTCGTGGCCCGGCGCCAGTGCAGACGATGAACACATGCACTTAAATACTAAGAAATTAAGGTATTATATGGAGTTGTGCTTCTGTTGAGCTATAGTGTACAGAATTGAAAGGCGTAAAGTGTGGTGTAAAGTACAAATGTGGTAGCTCGTAGACGCTTGTCGTGGCCTCGCCCTGGCCGGGGTCCTCACCCGCCCACTCCAGCTCAGTTTCGGCGAGCGAGTGACACTGTGACAAACTATTCATCGAAGAGCGGTAGTGCGGCAATATCCCTCTGGTCACTTCTGAACTTTTCGACAGGGGACTCTTTCCAGCTGCGCAGAATCTCCTTCAACTTGTTGATATCATTCCTGACCTTGGGTGAGTCGGCCCGCTTTGTGAGGTCCCTGGTCATTTCGACTCGCAAGTAATCTGCCAGCGTAGGACATTCGACGTTGACGTTTGAGAGATCACCAAGAATGGTGGCAATGTAAACAAGACGTGGCGTCCAAACGGAATAGTTACGTGCCAGCTGGTGCTTCAGATGTATCCAGTTGTTGTGGTACAGGGCAGGTCCGTTTGACAACTCGTCAATCAATGCCGATATCTCTTTGGCAAACAAAGCATCCATGTCAGCACCTCCAGGAGGAACAGCCAGCATTGCCACTTTTAGGCGAAATGGGTCTGGCAGAGTCTTGGGCTCTCGCATCGAGTCATGCTGCCATTGAGGAGTGCGTAACCCCTCGACTCTCGCGATGACCGATCGTAGCACCGGCTGCGTTGTCAATTGCCAACTCTTCAGCATCTCTGGATTCTTCTCCCTCATCATCGCCTCAGACTTGTGCCTGAGCAGCGCCTCAACGTAAGAAGGGTCTCCATGGCTGATAAGCCCGTCTGCAAAGTCTTGTGCGAAACGTTGGAGCATGTCAACGGTGATGCGATCGTTCGGGTTAGCGACTTCTTTGCTCATATGAGGCAGATGCATCTGCTCTAGGCAGTAGGTCCAATCGCTTCGAACCATCGTTCCCTCATTTCCGCTAAAGAGCTGCAACCAGTGTCTTCCTGCATTCGAGTTGGCCAGGGTAGCATTGCTTTCGATCTTCTTCGTGACGGATGCCATGCCGGGAGAGGGCCGAACGTTGGCAAGAACGTACCGGCTTAGCATCTCAAGCATGGGTCGCGAGAAGTACACCGGAGTTCTCTGAAAGATCTTGAGCATGGCGGGGTCGACTGGCGAGAGTGGGAGGCTATCTCCAGAAGGCAACGAGAAGCCATTCTTCTTGAGAAACAACTGTAACCACCGTCTGTTGTTCTCTGCGGACTGCAATATCAATCGATCCGTGATACCAACCAGCCTTGCTTTGGATACAGGGTCGTTGGAGAGCTTCATCTCCAAATTATAGAACAGAGACCGTATAGGAGCTGCAGATCGATCCTTCGCATTGGCGACTTCGGGTAGAGCACAATCAGCTTCTGCTTCCATCCAGTCATCCTCTGTCATTGGATGAAGCTCATCGAGAGATGCTGCAAGCGGCACGGCGAGGTCCTCAATGACACTCAGAATCCGGTTCTTCACATCGGGCGAAGCTGTCTCAGCTTCTAGGGTGTCGAACATGGTCTGAATGATGGCCACTCGAATGTCGATGTGCTGGGCTTTGGTCAAAAGACCGGAAAGGATATCTACAGCTGATGTGACGTCCAGGAACGGCGCATTGCTCAGAAGCTTTGCCAGCATCTTGACCGTCGTAACTTTGACCGCGGGTGGGGACCGCGCAGCTAGCTCACCGCCCTCCACCTTAGCCTTTTCGCATCTAGCCTGCTGCTCCTCGAGCTTCTCCCGTATGCCAATCGATATCATACAAAGAAGCTTTTTCGCCTGCTTTGGAGGGATGGCATTGAAGAATCCTTTGGTGAGAAGTTCCCGGTGCCATGCGCTATCGCTTGGCCTGTTGAGAACAACGTCCCTGATGAAGGGGAAAGCCAGAGATGGCTGGTCGCTGCTCGCTAGCAGTTTGACAAGCTTCATGGCCACCTGAAAACGAGCATGCGTTGGGGATTCTGAGTCCTCGTTGGCAGCCACTTTCTGGAGGATTGAGTTCACAACCGGTACAAGCAATGCTGGTGGGCCTGACTTAATGATATGCTCTATCTGGGCCTGGTTGTCATGGAACAAGGCTTCGTCGACGGTTTCAAGGAAGTCCTCGTCTAGGTAGAGCGCTGGGTATCGAAAATCGGCCTCCGATGGAAATGGGCGCTTCAAAACGGAGCTGTCGGAGCCATGGATGGTGTTGAGAGAGAGAAGAAGGGACGCGAAGTAAGCATCCACGACTTTACCAGAAAGGGGCTGTGAGAATTGGCTCGCGTCCCAGAAGTTGGGTCTCTCCTTTGATGGAATTTGCTCTGTATCTGACCGACTGAACGCCTGCCACACTGCATCACCATCCAAGCCAAAGGCATCACAGCTTATCATCACGTCTAAGATCGTGACGGGAATCTTTTTGCTACCGAGCTCTTCGAATTCCGTGTGACAAGAATCCGGATTCCACTCTGTTGGCGTTTCCGGATTTCCAACTTCAGGAATCGAGAGCTCGACTCGTCGCGGGAACTCTGCTTTGATGTCTGCAGGTAATGAGACGTTCGCGCGGTTGAATCGTTGTTCCCAGAACCGTAGGGCTTCAGCTTTCGTCATTCTCGCTCCACTGAGGCTGTCGACTGCATGGCGCCAGGCTTTACGAGTGCGCTCTTCTTGCTGATAGCTGTCTTCCCCTCCACCGATGTACGCTTTCAGTGCAAAGCTGTATTCGTCCACAAAACGGCCTATCGCCTGCTGAGATTCTTTATCCTTCGGAGGCTCTTTAAGCAAGACCTCGGGAGCCCCAAAGACAACTTTCTCGATCCGCGCTCGAACGTAAGGCATGGCATCGATATTCTTCAGGCCGAAGAATCCGATAGGCAAAAGAGATTGCAGCGGCAATCCCTTTGGCCATGGCTCGCCCAGCGTAAGAACCGATGGGAAACGCTGAGGACGGTGTTTCTGCCACAACTCATCGCGTGCCTTGGCGAGTCCGTCCACAAACTTGAAGGTGTGGGACCGCTTTTCACGGGCTCCGAAACAGTCCCTGGGGAAGCCCAGCCCACGTGGTCCGAAGGAGTCGAGCCCTTGATGGCTGGGATGAAGCAAGAAAGTCTCTAGTTCAATCAAGAAGTCCACAGTTGGCTGCCAAACGATCTCGGAGATCTCGGTATCGGTCAGCTTTCGAGCATCTTGGAACTCATTGACCAGTTGGAAACGTCTTTCAACCACTGCTGCAGGCAGTTCTATGACGGTTTGCCAGTCATAAGCCTGGAAGCTGGGTTCTCGGGTGGCCATCGATGCGGTTTCCAGCAGCTGCATCATAATCTTGTTCGCAGACCGAACGGATTTCGCAGCATCGAAATCTGGCTTGCCGGCATGAGAAGCTATCTCAATACCGCTGAGTAAGTCCAAACCCTCGGCAGTCTTCATAGCCCGCTCGTCGTAAAGATCCCTTACCGTAAACACGTCTTTGTTGAAGCGTCTCGCCCAAAGCAGGTTCTCTGCGTAGAGATCCAACGAGCCCGCCGCAATGGAGAGGTCGAGTGCTGACTGAGCCCACAAGGCTCGAGTTTCCCAATCACGGCTTGAGGATGCTTCTTTTCTGCGCCTCTCCAGATCTGCGTCTATTTTGCTGTTGAAGCTTGTGTTGAGGGGGCTCGAAGCTGGCGAACTTCGCAAAAGAAAGGCTTCGAGTGCGAGCGCGTCACCTTGGACTGAATCAGAGTCTTGCTCATGCTCAAAGATGGAACTTGCTCTGACGTATGAATACTCCAGGAAACGTCCGTCAGGGAAAGCGGCCATCAAACGCTGGACTAAGCGGAGAGATGCAAGCCGGTCATCACACCCAAGTGTTGTGACGAAGAATCTCGCTGGCCATGGTCCCTTGATCTTCTCGAGAGATATGTCTTCATTGCCTATAGCGTCGTCGATATCGAATTTGAAGGCAGGTAGATGCCGGAGCATAAGCCGAAATAATCGGTAGGATACGGCCGGATTGACAACACGTAGATGCGGAACGATCTGTTTTGCTGATTGCCACCTTGTCTCAGGCGTGAGTTTGAAAAGCTCGACCAAGTGTTGCTCAACGCGCGGTCGCGTCGAACGGGTATGCTCCCAGAATTTGATGACATGGAACATGACACCGACAAGGCTATCGTCCAGCATCCTCTGGAGGTCGGGATGCCTGTTTATGAGGCGGACGAGAAGCTCAAGGATCTCGAATGGAAGATGCTGTTGAACGGCTGTTCTGCGTCGCCGCAACCGTTTCACAATGGGCAAAGCAATCTGATTAATGAATACGTCAGGCGCAACGGGGAGCTCAGCCCCGGCGTCGAGAAACTTGAGGAGCATCTCCTTGGCGAAGCCAAAGTTGTTGTTGATAAGCTGCGTGCACGTGTCGGCATCGAATTCGGCAGTAGGAGATTCTTCATTCGAAAAGATGGAGTCCAGGAATTTGGCCTCATAGAATGTTGGGTGGGTGCGAAGCAAGTTAGAACGCTGCCTCGCTGTCCATTTGGGCGATGTCCCTTCATGCTCGGCTACTCGATCGGTTGTGCAGGCCGGCAGGATTCTCCTGTAATGGGATAACAGCGGCCTCGCATCTGGGTTTTCTTTGGGGACTGGGGTTCCGGCGCCGAGGATGGCGATCAACTCTGTCAATTTTGCTCGTCGCTGCGATCGTCCGTGGGGAAGGGAAGCTGTCCTGGCGAGACCATTGCATAGCATCTTGACCTCCTTGACGCTGAGGTTACTCATGATTGTTGCGACACCTTCAGCACCACCTGCCGCATTCCATACGGGAATCATCGTGTCGTCTGATCGCATGGCCTTGAGAAATGCCCTCATGGCCACACGTCTTTCGTGCGTACTCCCCGATTGAGTGAGTGCTGCTACGATCGACTTTGCATCGTCGGAAATGGGGATCCAGATTGAGAAGATGCTGTGCGGGATGGAACCTCGGACGACCGCTTCGTGGAGATTGTATGTGATAGACGTCGGATCGGCAGTGTTAGCTCGAACCTCCTTGAGGTACTTGGCAACCTCCTTCGGCGTGCCATTGCGGAGGATCGTATGTTTGATGGACGTTGAGTCTGCCATCGTTTTCGGTATGTGAACAAGTCGGGCTGTTGTTGCTGGTGCAGTATGTGAGTGACAAACGGTAGTGGCAATCACTAAGAGGCGATGAGATGAGCGCTTGGCAGCAAACCAAGGTGCCATGGCGGCGGGGTTGAGGGGGGAACAGAGCTTAAATCATCTGGGAATTTCAATTTTTGGAAAGATTTTCTTCGAGTATGGATCTACCTGGACTAAAGTACCGTACCTAAGCATGTACTCATCTTCGTGTTGGTTAGAGTCAAGTGAGATTGAGGCCGAATTTGGCCTCACAGCCGAGGCCGCTTTGCCGCAGACGTGATGAGCCGTATCAGTATGGCAAGGCATCAAGCATTGGTTGATTCCCTGAGCTACTCCCAATACGTGCTGATGGGACGACAGGACATGTTGGTGACCGGAAGTCTAGGAACTTTGGCCTTGATTGGGCTGGCCCCGGTTCTTTGCGGAGGCGTAACTGTGGCATTGCTTCTGTCTAGGTACTCACTCGCAGTTGCAAAAGGATTCGAGAGGTACGAAGTAGGTAACAAGAGGTTGGTGATCGACAATAGATGTATGGGTCAAGAGCACTTGTAGTGTAGGTTATAATAAGAGTCAAGTGTGGCCAAGCCAAGAATAAGTCAATGTCCTCGGCGTCAGCAGCAGCAGCAGCAGCAGCAGCAGCAGCAGCAGCGACAGCTCCTTATAAAACTCACACAACAGCAGCTGCCACCACTGAACCTTTGACATTATGTAATCTCTCTTAACTTGCCAAGAGAGATGATGGAATGACTAAGCTCCTTCAAGTCGGCAGACGGGGTCGTAGCTGCGTGCTGATTCGTGCCCTCATTCAACTTTCCCCAATGATTCCGGCTTCACGCGAGTCACAGGACGAGCTTCCCTCCCTCCCTGATGGCTGGTGCTTGGCGGGGGACCTTTCAATTAAGTAGACTTCTCGTCAGTGAGTCGCAAGTCCCAGTGTTTTAGCACTTCCATCTTCAGCAGAGCTGTCTGCTCTAGGGGTAGCGTGTTTGTATCGTCAAAAAGTCAACAGACCAGGCCGCTTTGATATTGGATCTCAACTCGACCCCAGCTTCAAAAGTCAATACGTCGAGAAATAACGCGTGTTCCTCTGATCCAAAACTTTGCCGCTTGCTATCCGTACAGAGCACTTTAGCTCTTCACCGAGATCGCCAGAGTGCACCCGGGCTCCTCTCACCTTCCCCTCACCTGGATGGAGGATCCTCAATCGCTACGTCCAAAGCAGGCCGCCTGTCTGGTCTGCCGCCGAAGCAAGATCAAGTGCGACTATTCTCCGCATGAGAACAAATGCAAGAGGTGCATTCAGCTCGATTCTGAGTGCATACGGCCTACGTTCCACGCCGGAAGACAGAAGGGAATCAAGAAGTAAGGGCCCCCAAGCTCCCCCCGTCTAATGGTGTTGACACCAGACGGCCCCCCATGACCGAGACAACCCTTTCGAGTCGCACCACAACTCCCCCACCATTCTCTGATGTAGTATTGATCATTGGCCGGGCGTGTAATAGCAAGCGAAAGGGCCTAGATAAAGCTCTATATCAGATTGAGCAGGCCATCAAAAGAGCCAGAACCGGTGAACACAACTCCGAAGATGACAAGGCCATCGGCAGTCTCCAGGCGCTCCTGGAGGGCTCTCGAAATGCTCGGTCAACTACCGCCTCCTCTCACTTAAGGCGGGGTTCATCGCATTTCAACAGCCCCGACCAACCCGACCTCTCATCTGACGATGATGATGACCTGGATAACACCCCAGACAGCAATACCTATATGAGTTTGCATCATCACAATGAAGAGAGCCTAGCAATCGACGATGCCGAAAACCCGCTTCAACTCCTGGCGCGCGCCTCGAATCTGCAGCTTTCGCCCAAGCCCATCAGTGGCCTCTCGCCAAAGCAGCCGGGTCCCCGCGCCGGTCGCAAGAAGCAGGTCGAACAACCCGATGAGGACTTGGAGATCCAGTCCTTCTTCACCTCTGTTCGCGTCAACTTCGATGTCGGCGATGACATAGATCCTATCATTATGGGTCTTGTGACTGAAGAAGAGGCAGAATCACTGTTTGCTTTGTAAGTGACACACGCCCGCCGCCGATGAGGGCCTCGTCAAACTCACCATTTAGCTTCCATGGCAAACTTGCCCACACCCGATGGGGACTTGATCCCAAGATCTACACTCCATCCTTCACGCGCTCGCGATCTGCCTTCTTGTGCACCTCCATCATGGCCGCATCGGCCCTGTTCCTTCCATCCGCTGGTGCCTTGTCCAAGAGACTGTCAAACCATTGCAAGACCCTCGCACATAGAGTCATCGCGAACCGACACAAGTCCGTTGAGATTGTTCTTGCATTCATGGTCAACGTTCCATGGATGTTTCCTGGCCAGCATAGCACTGATGATGAGACTTGCTGGTATGTCAATATGGCTGCCACTATCGCCATTGATCTGTCCTTGAATAAGCTCCTCATCCCAATGGAAGTCGTCGGTTCCGGTTCGAACATGGCCTTGTCCCGTGGAGACTGTCTTGATCCTCGGACAGCGCTGGCCATGGATGGCTTCAGCCACATTGAACATACCTCTGATCTGGGACAACGCCTTCTTCGTCGCCGTGAGCGCTGCTGGATCGCACTCTTCGTTCTCGAACGAGGCATGTCTCTTGCTCGCGGCCGACCTTATACCGTACCCATCACCCGGGTCATCAAAGACTGCGACCAATGGCATCGTTCCACCATTGCTGACCCCATGGATGGTCATCTCGTCTCGATGGCCGTCCTTCGCCGAGACCTTGACGGACTGCTCAACACTGTCCGCGCGCTTTGCGATGGGTCGCAGGGAATATCTACGGACGGCGGGCTCATCGCTCAGTCGATCCAGAGTGCTATTGAGAGATTCTTCGATCAATGGCTGACCGAATGGGGCTACGCCATTGGCACAGGCCCCCAGCGCCGACTCCCTCCGTACGTTGAGATTCTCGTCACTCATACCCGGCTCTCGACGTACGGAGGCGTCATCAACCACCCGACCGCCCCGATGGAAGTCCGACAATTCTTCCGTACGGCCGGGCTATCGTCTGCTGTGACGGTCATGCGGGCAGCGATCCAAGGAGAGTCGCAGCTCCAGTCGATCCCGAACAACACGACAATCATGGTCTCGTTTGCAGCCTGTTTTGCCCTGACTCTGAGCGCCTACGCTACGGGCAGCTCGAATCTGGCACCTAGCATTCGGAACCTCATTGAAGAAACGGCAGATGTCTTGGAACGTATTGGCTCTGCTACAAAGCACAGAAATGGCTTGTCTACACTGTACGGAAAATATCTAAGACGTATCGTTAAGAAGGCGGCCACAGCCATGGACGGCCAGCCTCAGACGAGTATGCATCCAGATCCAACTATCCCTCGCAGCGGTCAGCTCGGAACGCCCTCGTCCGCTGTTGCTGCCTCGCCTCCCGTCAACATGGGGCCACCAGTCTCGCAGCCACCCTACATGGAGTCACAGCTATGGCCTGGGACTTTGCAGTTCTCTGCCATGTCTGACGACCAGATTGCCGAGGTTCTCAATCAGCCAGGCAACGAATTCGACCCCTCATTTGCAGGCCTGTCCTGGGACGATATGAATAACTTTGACTGGCTAAGCTGGCCTAATTTGACGGAATTTGGGTTCTAGAAAAACACCTCTCGTTTTACCATGTTGCGCACATCATGCCTTCATGGTTTCGACCGGGGCGGCGAACTGCCATTGCGTCAGTTTCCGCAGCTGTTCCATGAACACAAAAGTTAGGACAGTATTCGGCCTTCAGTATACGGTTCATTAGCAACATCATCAACATTTCTTTTCATTATGGATGTGACTTACGTCAATCTCAACCACGCCGGGGTCCATCCCTTCATCAAGAAAATTGCTCCTTCCTCCCTCAGGCCAGTCTGTACGATACGAAGCAGAGACTGGATTCAATCAGTCAGTTGCTCTATCACGAATGGGACTGGACCTGTCTACTCACGTTTGCCCCTGGGCCGCTCGCAGCAGCACTTTGAATCCTGCTCTTGAGGACATCAGCTGGCGCGCAAATCGTTGTCGCCGCAGTCCCAGCAAAGAGGGATGCCACAGCGTGTGTTTTGATATCATCCTTCATTTCAGTCTTTTTCAGGAGGATGCGTTTTGCTGTCGAGTATCTGTTTTTACCTTCATGTTAGTTTTGCCTGATTTCTGCAGTCCCCCCTCCCGGCGGACGTCCACTCATTTGGCACTCACGTGGCGATTTGTCCCACATCTATCATTCGACGTCAGCTTCAATAAACCCTACAGTCGTTTCCGAGGTTTCTGCTTGACTTACTCATGAGTATGCTGCGCACCACATTGGCAGATATGCCTCGTGTGAATGCTCCCACGCCCTCTTCGCGACCTATCCTGTATAGCCCTTCGACGGCGTTGGAGTAAGCGAATCGTTCGCCGACATTCTTGGCTCCATCGGCGCACATGCGGACGAGGACAACCTAACACCTGTGAGGGTCTACGCTGAACAGTGGAGCGATGCCAGCCATACCTCAGCGGGATTTCCAACTAGCCCTGCCATGCCTCCAGCCAACCCAGCACAAGATATCGTCATCGCTGTTGTCAACTTTTCTTGGCCTGTCCACTGTTTCGCTTGTTGCGCAAAGTAATTGTACAATCCGAATCGGGCGGTGGAATAAGTGGTTTGTCGAAAGATGGATGCCGACAACCCAGACCACAGAGAAAAGAACCCTGTGCAGTGTGAGCAGTGACGATACCAGAAAATTAGCTGTATCCCTCACCATCCCTAGCTGCGAAACGGTACATTGCTCGAAACATTGACTCCCTTGACTTGAGGACCTGCATTCGACTACTACGATCAGTATTCGTTCTGCGCGCTCCGAGCCGTGGGCAACTCTTCACTCACTACTTGGTTTGATCCAAAGGATGTGCTGCGATTGCGAGATCAGTAACCAGTTGCAACACGGCGATGTCGCTCAACGGCGAACGTACTGAAGCAGACTGCCATAGAGGCTGCAGCACCTCTGCAATTATTGGTCAGCAAAAATTCAACCTCCGATTCAAACTTGGACCCGTGTAACTCACCCAAGCCAGAAAGGCTCCTTCTGCTTGCTACCGCCGGCCATCGTGTGCTGGTGTAAGTGTGTGCTATGGGTATATGCAATGCTACATGCAACCAAAGTGCCAAAAGAACTTCTCAACATCCATTTTCAGAAGCTCGATCCATGGACATACTCTTCTGATAAGAAATGAGGCATTGTTACCATCAGCCCCTTGTCTAAGCTTATCCGCCCGCTGTCTGTTGTTACGCAACCCGTCTCGTTCTCATCCCGCAATGCCTCGGACTCCAAATGTAGAGCCGGCGAGCTCTCGGCCGCTCGGCGCAATGTTCAAAGAGTCGAGCTCCAATTCCCCACGCTGATGTCACATGGGACTCTTCGCCTCGGCACTTCTTTTGGAGTCCGAGACGCACGGTCGAGGGACCTTCTTTTGTCTTCCGACTTGCGGAACCCCTCCGATCTCGTTCAATTGGGGAAACAAAACCACTTCTGCATCCCACCACCTTCGCTTGAACGCACGCCTTCTAGTCCGATGGATGATGAGCCCGCAGAGAAACAGTTGAAGCAGAACAGTTCCCGCAGTAATCGTAAGCCAGAGGAAACCATGTCGAAGCTCGCACCGTCGCTCAAGGCACTCATCAACGCGCCGTTTGCCCGTCCCGGCCAGACGGCTGCGCCGTCGCATATTCGCGAGGTGTACCAGGCCATCGCCAAGGATGCGGCATCAAAGAACGTCGGCGCAAAGCCATGGCTAGCACTTTCGGTGAGATATACCTATCGCGACTTTCGTAGCTTCAGTTGTGTAGCTCAATTGACTACAATCGAGCTGGTACGACACCCATGCGAGCTTAGTTGCTAACCTCGGCATCTCACAGGCCGCGGCAACCTTCACACTCAACTCTCCCGACTCTCTAGAGTCCCTCTACAGTGTCGCGTCTTCCTCCGGTCGCCCCGACAAGCGCGAGACTGCCGAGTTCATTCGCGAGATCGGTCTGAAATGCATCAGCTTCAACGGCATCCCCCGCACCATTAACTGCCTTAACGCCTTTTACGCCAGCCTCCCCAAGGATGTTACGGCACAACTGGAGACGAAGCCGACGCGAACACCAAACGCGCAAAACATCGACGCCATCACAGTTCGTGGCCAAGGCCTGTGGGACTCGATTTACGCCCCCTTCGAGGTTAAGCTCTACGAGAAGCTGGCGCAATCGCACCCGGATCTTCCGGTCCACATTCTCCACAGCCACTACGCGGGTTTGCTGTCGGAGCCGAAGGAGCGGGGAGGTCTGGCCAGCGTCGGGAGAGTGCTTACTTCGATGATTGCAATTTCATGCTTGCGAGCACAAACCGGCGTTGGTCCGCAGGTTCTGTCGCACGTTTTCGGCTTGAGGAAGGGACTTGAGGACGGCACATACAAGGCGGACAACCAGGAGGACATTCAGGGTGCGGAGTGGTTGGCTAGCGATGAGGGCAGTGAGTGGATTTTAAAGTCAATTGACACTATTACGGAGGCCATTGGCGGAGCTGCGAGGTCAAACTTCGCTCCAGGACGCGAGTCCAAGTTGTAGATCACCGGGGCCTATGATGCTTGTCGAGGTGTTGTACACTACCGGGCTCCAGGACCGGATCATGAAGCCTTTTATGAATTCGAGCTTTTTTCAATATCAATACTTCCGAGTGCCATTCATCGTGTTGCCAGACGCGCGTCTTTTCTTTCAAGCAAAGACCGTCACGAAGCCAAGTACGGATGCTGGGCGCCCTTGCAGCGACTTACAACAGAAGTCCGGACGCCCAAATTTCGTACTCTTCAAGATAAAGTTGACTGTTGACGTGCGTGTGTTCATGTGTATTCTGATATCGACGAAGACGGTCTACGGAGCATTTGGAAATGCTAGGGCTTAAACTTGGAACGCAGGACACTCCGAAGAAAGAAAATATCATTCTACCATAAGATCTAAGTAAGTCCATCACTTCTTGTAATCCAACCCTTGCTTAGCCAACCCTACAGCACCATCTTAAAGTGAGGTTCCCGGTCATCACCTGTACCAATGAACTGATCATGCTTTCCGGCAGCCTTATCGCGGTTGATCTTGGCACACCAGAGAACATTTGTAAAGGTTCTGGAATTTCTGTTAGTATCTTGAATCACGAAAAGTAGATGGCTTTACTCACGCTACCCATGCGTAACAAAGAAGTCCTAGGATGACAGTGTGGCCCTTGTGATACAACGGACCATCAGTGCTAGGGTAGATGAAGGCTTAAGATAAAGTCAGTCAGATGAACGTTTTGTCGATGCACATTGTCAACTTACTCGCTACGAAGCCGCCACAGTTGGCGATGGCAAGCTGAAGTGCGGACGTTGTCGCGCGCTTGTAGTGACCAGCTGAATTGTTGGAGTTCCATACCAAGACGCACGGGACGGCACTGTACATGCCAATGGCCATCAGGCATGTCATGGCAAATCTCGTCTGTGGCGCCGTGACGTTGGCGATGGCTGCGTAGCCCGCGATGGAAATGGGCAGGACGAAGAGCATGAGCGTGCCACGTAGGCGGAGGCGATCGGATAGGAAGGCAACGAGGACTACGAGGGAAGTCAGCTTTCAGTATAGTCCCTATGCTTAATCTTAAGCTATTGCTCACCTGTAACGGGGGTCGCGACCGCGTACGGGATCACAGACCAAAGTTGAACTTGGTTGGAGTTGGAAGCGATATGCATGTCGTTGATGATTGTCGGGAGCTTTTCGGTCTCCGTCAGCTGTTTGAAACTTCATATCAAATCCCAAGAAACTCACGAATAGGCCAAAGGAGTAAAGACCAGACAGAATGGCAAAGTAAGCAGTTGCGCTGAGCCAGATCTGAAGGTTGAAAACGCCGCGACCAACTTCGGACCAGCGGAACTTCTCCTCCCTTTCGCGTGAAGAACTGTGAAAATTTCAGTATTGAGCTTCTTTACAACCTGGCGTTGGAACCTTACTCAAATCTGTCCCCAGCATGACCTTGAAGCCTGAGCAGCGCCCACTCGCGCTCTTCATCCGTTAGGATCTTCGCCGTCGCTAGGTTGTTTGGCAGGCCAATAGCGGCAATGATCCCACACACAACGGTCTGAAGGAACACATTAGCATCCACTGGTTCGGTGTCCGGGGTTCAAGAAATTACAATGATGCCCTCGATGATGAAGATCCATCGCCAACCTTCAAGGCCAGCCGCAGGACCAATCGCCGACAAGCCTCTCGCGAGGAGACCTCCAAATGCACCAGAGAGAGATGCAGCCGTATAGAAGATACCAATGCGCAGTGCAAGTTCACCGCGGGTGTACAAGCCAGAAAGATACAGCACCATTCCGGGGAGCAGTCCACCCTCAGTCAGACCCAGAATTGCTCGGACTGCGACGAAGCTGCCGTAGCTACGAACAAAGCCGAGACACATGGCTTTGCAAAGTTAGTAATGGATGATAATTAGACCATATCCTGTTGAGTTGTGTACGTACTAACAATCCCCCAAGCACAGGTGAGAAAGGGCAGCCATATCCGCGGCGAGACCTTCTTCAACACGAGGTTGCTTGGCAGTTCGCTGGGCGTGCATTAGCGATCGGACGACTGTGGGGAACCACATGGGACGAGAGCACGTTGACAGCGCCAAGATCAGCTGAGAACAGACGGAGAGATGTTACCTCGCGATGTATGTCGCATAGAAGACGGCCAAGCCTTGGTTGTATTGGTTGTTGCTGATGCCAAGGTCCTCGGCTAGGCCAATAATCTTTGCGTTGCCGACGTTGGTTCGATCGAGAAAGGAACAGAGAAACAGTAAAGCCAAAAGCGGCAGGACCCTGTCAATCGTTGGGTGTAAGTTGGAATGATTCTTCAAAGTGGTTCCTCGTAGTTGAGAACTTGGGGAAAGCGCTCACCTAGTGTCGACTTTGAAGAGCAGAGTCTTTGTGAGATGCCGTTGGCGTTCTGCTTCAACTTCCAGATGGCTCTCGTCATGCTCAACCTTGGGGTCCATGTCAAAGTCTTTCGATGTCATGTTGAATTTGAATAAGATTTGGCAGTGTAACCTTGGGAAACTCTATGAAGAGACTGGAAAGATGAGAGCAACAGAGAAGACAAGACAACAAGACCCGAGCTCCTATCTGCCAAGCAAGGGCAAAGCTTGGGGGTCCCTCCCCCATTTTGAAGCCCGTCTTCCCCAGACCCCAAATCTGCGGGGGAGGACGAACCCACGGCGGGTAGCATCTTAGACCATCCCCGGATCGTCTCTCTGACTTTGCCGTCATCCCGTCCAGACCAATGACGAGCCTTTGTTTACTGTACGCCATAAAGCTGACTCGGAGTCTACTTTTGGTCTCCGAGAGCTACTGCAGAAGAAATTCCGAGTTCCCACAACTCCCGGTAGCCCGCCGAAGACGTCAGAGACTCCCCTGACTCTGCCTGCATCTTCCCCCTCATGCCGAAGCCACTGCTGAACCGCGGGAGCGGAGGGACCCCGTCGTGGTCGGTGTGCAAAAGAACGGCCGAGGCGTCCCGCGCAGCAACCCGTTCAAAAAGATGAGGTCGCGCCCACCTAACCCGAACCTAGAAATGTCCCCCGACAATCGGCCTTCCTTTTTCTTTTACTTGTGCTTAATCTCTGGTCTCTCGTCACAATCGATTGAAACCTTCCCTTTTGTGTTTTGTGGATAAGTCTGCTTCTTCCTCCAGAAAAGGACCGAACAAATGTCTTCCATTACTCGCCAGTTGCGCCCGCGGGTGCTGGTCCGCGCGTCCTTCAGAGCTGTGCCCGCAGTGTGTGCGCAACCTCAGCGTTTCCCCCGCGCAAAGGTCCTTGGTGTTGCGACATACCGTGGCATAACGACGACACCGATCCGTAGATCACAGAAGGCGCCTGCTACGAAGAGAGGTGGCTCGAAGCTGTATGCATCTGCCGATGAGGCTGTCGCGGACATCAAGAGCGGATCAACCATTCTGAGTTCGGGTTTCGGGCTCTGTGGTGTTGCAGGTTAGTCCAGTCAGGCTATATTTTATCGGCACTGCCAGAGCATAGGAGAATGACTGACACTTTCGACGACAGACACAATCATCGCTGCACTAAACCGCAGGGGGCCCGAGAACCTGCATTCGCTTACAGCTGTCTCAAACAATGCTGGTCAAGAAGGCAAGGGTGGTCTGGCTGTCCTGACCAAGGCTGGCCAGGTGAACCGCCTGATCCTGTCATTCCTTGGAAACAACAAGGCATTGGAGAAGAAGTATCTCACAGGAGAGATTGGCATCGAGCTGTGTCCTCAGGGAACACTCGCGGAGAGGATCCGTGCCGGTGGCGCTGGAATCCCCGCCTTCTTTACGCCCACTGGAGCTCGTAAGTTATACCTTGACAGGATCCGGGAAAGGTAGCTGACGTGAGTAGACTCTCTGGTTCAGAGTGGTGACATTCCCGTTAAACTTGATGCTTCTGGCGCGGTGAAAGAGCGCGGGCGCACGAGGGAGACGAGAGAATTCAACGGCAAGACATATCTCATGGAGACTGCACTTACGGGAGACGTGGCTATCTTGAGAGCATGGAAAGTGGACACAGCAGGAAACTGCGTTTTCAGGTACGAGAACTACATGCGAATTGACTGAGCGAAGGACCTCGCTGACTATGTTTCCGCGCAGATACACAACCAAAGCATTTGGACCCATCATGGCCAAGGCCGCAACAGTCACCATCGTCGAAGCGGAGAATATTGTCGAGGCGGGCGCAATTGACCCCAACGACGTCGACTTGCCCGGAATTTTCGTCGACCGAATCGTGCCTTCGACCGCCGAGAAGAACATTGAGATTCTCAAGACAAGGGCGGAGGATGGTGAGGGCGAGGATCTAAACGCACCCAAGAATGATGCGCAGGCGAGGCGTAATCGCATTGCTAGACGTGCTGCGAAGGAGTTGCAGGAGGGTTTCTACGTCAACCTCGGCGTTGGTGAGTGGAGACTCGTGCCCCGTATGGAGGCTTGAAGAGAGGTGCTGACTTTCATACTTTTAGGTATTCCGACTTTGGCTCCCTCATTTCTCCCGGCTGAACGCAATGTTTGGATTCAATCTGAGAACGGAATTTTGGGTATGGGTCCTTACCCAACCAAGGACCAGGTCGACGCGTACGTATACCGTTTAAGAGGAAGTGAGATGCATGAGCTAACATGTTCAACTCTAGCGACATCGTCAATGCTGGCAAGGAGACCGTCACCCTCGTTCCCGGTGCTTCAACATTCGACAGCGCCGAATCCTTTGGCATGATCCGTGGCGGCCACGTAGACGTCTCTATCCTTGGTGCGCTGCAGGTCAGCGCCACGGGCGACTTGGCCAACTACATGATTCCCGGCAAGGTGTTCAAAGGCATGGGTGGTGCTATGGACTTGGTGTCTAATCCTGACAACACCAAGATCGTCGTCGCGACTGAGCATGTTGCCAAGGACGGCTCTTCCAAGATTGTGCAGGACTGTAGTCTGCCGTTGACTGGTGCTCGTGTTGTCAGCACAATCATTACTGATCTGGTGAGTTGAGCGTCGTGTCAGATGATTATTGATTATTAAGAGACTCGTTGCTAACATAACGACAGTGTGTCTTTGAGGTTGATCGCAAGAATGGCGGACTAACACTAACCGAGGTCGCGCCCGGTGTCGACGTTGAAGAAGTGAAGTCGAAGACGGACGCAACATTTGAGGTCGCAAAGGATCTGAAGACGATGGAGTGAGATGGTGCTGTAATAGTAAAGTCTGTGTTAAAGATACCAATAGAGAAATCAATGCACTAAACAGTTCATCTCTTGTGTTCATATAGTTCAAATGTTATCATTCGTGGCTAGTAATACATTATCGTCTATGTGCAAGTCATGAAAATCCAATCTTTCATCGGCAGTCGTTCTCCCGGTGCGCTTGATGGAGATTGAATCGGGGGGTATCATCCGAATTTAGGCACCAGAAGTTTATTACAGAAACGTGGGAGGCAGCGTCCTAGTTGCTGCTGGAGCTCGAGCTGCTGCTACCGCTGCGCTTGCGGTGCCCGTCCTTCTTACCATGCTTTTTCTTGTGCTTCTTCTCTTCCTTCCCGGGTCTGTAGTTTCTTCATGTTAGTCGCACGCTTTGAGCAATTCGAACTAAACATCGGGCACTTACTTCAGTTTATGCTCCAACAAATTCGCACCAATCGCGCCAGCAATAGCACCGCCGACAGTTCCAATAAAACCGCCGCCGGCCTTATGCGCCGCCCATCCGGCCGCTCCGCCACCGACTAATGTTGCGCCGAGGCCCTTATCCTGGTCGGGACCGCCGGGACCAGCGCCATACTGAGGCTGGCCGCCGTATTGGGACTGTCCACCATACTGAGGTGCCCCATATGGCAGTTGCTGGTTGTGGGAATAGCTGTCTCGGTTGTCGTGGCCGTAGCTTTGCTGATGTTGGTTGCCCTGGGCGTACGTGGGTTGTTGGGATCCGCCGTATCCGTGCTGCTGCTGGGGAGGGGCGTTGTAGCCACCGCCCTGCTGGTACGGAGAATGTGACTGCTGGGGGTAGCCGCCGCCGCCGCCGCCGTGGTGCTGCTGGCCCTTGGGAAAGTGTTAGTATTGCTGATCTCGATGCTGCTTCTTGTCAACCTGAGAACTATCTTGAAGGTCTTACCTGTGCATATGTGGGCTGTTGAGGTGCGTAACCGCCCTGGTTGTATCCTTGCTGGCCACCGTATCCCTGGTTCTGGCTGTGGCCGCCGCCTCCGTAGTAATCGTTTGCAGACATGTTGAGGATTGAGGTTGCTGAGTTGAAAGAGAAATGGGTAATTCGAGATGTATACTTAGTAGACGAAGTATCGGTTGAAGTCTGGTATGCTTAATGAACGACCCGACAGAGCTGAGAAAGAGGGGAGAGCTGAAGCTTTATGAAAAGGCGTCAGACTTGCTTACTGCTGAGAGAGCCTCGAAGGAACGCTAATCACCATCTAGTCAGACGGAGCTTGCGGAAATTGGCAGGGGCGGGCATAACTAACGTGCCACAAGCAGCCTAACGCGGGACGGGGATTGGATCTCTCCCGTCTTGCCCCCAGTCAAGCCAAGTTCTTCAGCGTCTTGCCCGCGCCCTCGGCTCAGCTTCTATCCTGTCGTCATGTTCGTGGCGCAGTCATTACGCGGGGTGCCGTGTGTGCTTGTCAGCCCTGCTGCAACCTGCAAGCCACAGACCGTGAGCTGATAGACAAGCCACCAATGACGCGACCCCTCTACTGCTGGGTCGTTCGCATTCGGTTCCTCGGTTACAGGAAGGTTGATGGCGAATCAATGACTAAAAGCTCGAATTCAGTGGGTTGCCAACTTGCCCTACGCAGAAGCTGCAAGTTTCTTGTCTCTACTGTACACAAGAAAAGCCCTCGCGATGTCTCCAATTCCTGTGACTATCCATCTTGCCATTATCGAAGTCAGTAATCAATAATGGGTGGCTCAACCCATTGATATGGTAGATCATGTTTCGTGGAGTATTGCCTAGCCTCTGTGATCGGCAGAGTCTGTTTCAACAATTGGATCGGACGAACTCTCATTCTGGCGCTCTAAGATCACTGCCACCCACCCACGCACCTTCTGTGCTGCTGCACGCCATGAGCTCTTGCACGCCCCCGGGAAGCACGGCCACGATCCATCATCCAGGCCCTTGTGGTGACCCCAGAATAACATGCAGGGAATTACCGTTGAGGGGAGTGGAGTTGGGCCGCAGCTGACATCGGCGTCTCCGGCCGCAGCGCGGGTGGGGCCGATTGGCCGATTTTCCCGGGAAAAAGGTCCAAATTGCCACGGCGGATTGTCTTCACGGCCCCGAGAGTAGGATGTCCCCGAGTCCGCCGGGATTGTTGCTTAATAACTACTAATCCTTTGTTGAACTGTCGACCGCTAATCCGTGCCCCAGCACTGAGTGTATTGGGCTCAATCAGCCTAGAAGTCCCTGGGTTAGACTCAGTCCCGACCATAGCCGTTTACACCCGCTGGTTCTTACAACGTACACGAGGAATCTGGTCAATGCAACCAACTAACTTCACGGTGATACCTCATTAGTAAGACGGCCAGGCTCATCCATAGGCCTTCGACCATTGCTCCGGGTGAAAGGGTTACAAAAGGCACTCCCTGATTGGCATCCAGAATTTGGAAGAGTGTCTCACTAGCTTCACTACCACATAGCTGTTATTGCGGGGTATTCGACGCCGTCGTAGGGTAGCGCGATCGGATGATATGTAGCGCCTAGGTTAGCATGAGCCAACACACTCTACTCGAATATCACAGGGGCGATCTTGTCCCACTGATCGCGTGTAGGAGCGGCAATGTTACTGTGTACGAATAGGCTCGAAGCATTAATACCCGGAATAGTCCCATTATCTGGATGATGCGTGTCTATTTCATACTTTAGTTTTCTCCATCTTGAAGAGACCTTGAGTCCTCAGATAGGAAACAATATCAGATCACGACGTCATGACTAACATCATCAGCAACGTCCTTCCAGCCGGAGACCTCTCCACACGCGCTTATGTGCGGTGGGACGCGAAAGGGGTTGAAGAAGTGCCTCCAAATGAAGCAGAAGACATTCAAGCCGTTGCTGAAATGATCAATGAGGGGCAGCGCAGAACTTGGAACTCGACACGTCATGGCTATGGTGGTACCCATGCCAGAACACAGGGCATCGTCAAAGGCACGTTCATCGTCCCTGATGACTTGCCTCCCCACTTGAAACAGACGGAACTGTTCCAACACGGCGGCGAGTACCCTGTAGCCTGTCGATATAGTTCAGAGCCCGGTGACCCGGGTCTCGATGTGGGTGTTCTTTGCTTTTCATCATCGTCTCTTAAAGTGTAATGCGCCATGCTTACACGTTGCAGGACCGCATCCCCCAACCCCGGGGCTTTGCCATGAAGCTGTTCAACGTCAAAGGAGAAATGTTCGAGGCCGGCAAGGATACTCCAACTCAGGACATTGAATTCAATAGCACCCCGGCCATTGATCTCGCCGACGCAAAGACGACAAAGGAAATTATCGGGCTTCGGCTTAAGCATGCTGGCAACAAACAAGAATTGAATAAAGAGCTCAACGCTCGCCAAGATGCGCAGCTCCAACTCGCTCGTGACCAGGTTCGCAACACCCATCTCGAGTCCACGCGACAGTATTCACAGACAGCGTACCGGTTCGGAGACTACGTCATTAAGTATTCTCTCGTACCATCTACCGAGACGCAGAGGAAACTTTACGATGAGACCGTGAAGCCAGAGCATGACGAGTCCATCCTGCAAAAGTGGCTACAGAATTTTCATGCACACCATGATGCGGAATACCTCTTCCAAGTACAGCTGCTAGAGAACCTCGGTGATCAGCCTGTAGAATATTCAGGCGCCGTGTGGGATGAATCAAAGTACCCCTGGCAGACTGTCGGCAAGCTTGTGATTCCACAACAGGACAGTTTCGACTACGAGAGGAAGAGATTTTGGGAAGACTACGCTCGTGTTGACCCATGGCATGGGTTGAAGAGCCTTCAACCACTGGGTAGCTCGAACAGACTTCGGCGGGCAGGTAAGTTGTTCATCTTCCCCTGGCTATGGAACGCCCTGACACTTCGGGTTCTGACATTTTCAGTTTACGCTGCGAGCAGCAGCATGCGACGCAAGTTGAACGGGGTCAAAGAGGTTCAAGTCAAAATAATCGACGAGATACCTAATTGAATATCTTTCCAGGTATCTCAGTAGGTTGTAGATTAGCGGCGGGCCAGAGCATTGACGCTATCGGATGTCGATGTATGCCTGTGCTGCCTCAAATTGTGTCCAAAGAAACCATTTAGTATTAATCCGCTATTACAAAAAATAACACTCACGGGTTTCCGTTCAAACGAGTGTATTGTACTAATAATCGATGAGTACTTGAATGTCTCCATGTCGACCGAGACATTGCAGGTGACATCTTGACCATTGAGCAAATTGAAGCCCAACGATCTCTTAGGAACCGGCATGCCGACAACAGGGTCTTCATTCTGCCTCTCCAGAACCAAAAACATCAAAACATCTGCCAGAAATTCCTTTCCGACTTCCCAAACGAGTGTCCAAACGTTTGTTTCGCAAAATACTGAGATCCACCTAATACGCATGCCAAGCGCCTGCCTTCAATTATCGGGGTTCTGCACATTTCCAAAAACATCTCTCAAGACATTTTTTATATGTCAGGTGCTTCAGTAATTTCCAGCAACAATGTTCAGCGATTTTGCCCAGCGTGATAGTCGTTCTGCCGTGTCTGGCTCCTTACATCACTTCCAGTGATTCCAGTGAGGAAGAACATCGACATCTGCGTGCTTTCGGAGCTTTTCCTTCATCTGGTCCAAAACGTTGCCAGTTGAGATGTTTCCCAGGCAGCGGTGTCGGATCAGAAAATCGATCATAACGAGTGCGGAGTTTGGCTTGAATTCGTCATTGAGAAGATCTTCGACAATCTCTCTGACAGACTTCTTCTCGACTGACTTGACTTCGTTCGGATTGGGCTTGAAAATAGGGTCTTCCTTCACTTCCAAGTCGAATGGAATTTTGACGCCAAGCTCAGGGGCACCAAGAAAGTCTTCACCCCATTTCTTATCCCGCAGGACGGCAAACTGTATCGGAGAACCTTGCTTGACGTCTTTCAGCAAGTCAGTTATACCATTTATTTCCTCTTTCACTTCCCGTTTCAGACATTCTTTCGCAGACGTGTCTTTAGCTTTGCCGAAACCCCCACCTGCGTACTGATAGCCTCCAGCAGCGCACTGATCGTACTTGCCAGGAAAGGTTGACTTCTGATTCGAACGTCTTGCAACGAATATACAAAACTTTTTCGGATCATCCTCATCGTTAATATCACGTTTGTAGATGTTCAGATGAACACCAGTAGTCACAATACCGAAGACGGGGGACAAGCCACAGACGAAGCCGGTTGACATTGGCAACCTGTTGATAAAGGTCAGGCTCAGCGGCCACATCTCATTTTCGTCAGCCCTGACGGCTTGGGGAAATTTGCCTCCATGTTGACTCTCTTTTGGGCAAAGGATATCTCGTATGTTTCTGAGTCCTTGAACGAAAGCGGCCGGAGTCTTCAAATGGTCCGCGTGCAGTCGAATACGACTTGGCTTCTGTTCCGTGTCGAACAAAAGGTATCTCTCTAACTTTGGTTTCAACTCTTGTAAAAGTTCGGCGTGGTGAGCGGTAACAACGCCCAGTTTCTTCCAGGCCGATCCATCTTCATAACCGAATTCCCAGTAATCGGATGTCTTTTTGAAGTTGTTGTAGTCTTCGACGACTTCAAGTAGCGTAGAATTTGGGGCTGGCATGGTGAATGCTGTAAAGTTTGCGGAGGGCTTCAAACTATTTTCTTCTAATCTTCTGTTCTAGATGATCATGAAAGAGCAAGGCAACAGTTGCGTATAGAATTTAGTGTTTTGGTATGCTCAGTGAACGTATCGACGCACGCGGTTTGCTGCAATATTTTCCAAACTACTCTATAACACATGATCGTCGCCATGGCCGATTTAAACATTTTCATCCCGTAGGAGAGATGAAAGACCTTGAGTGGTTTACTCAATGCCGATTTCTTCGACAAAGCCGCAACCCAATTCGCTTACCGGTGTGCATATTGGGGGCAAAGCCGACGCTTAGCAGCTCACCAGGTTGCATTGGAATGTCTTCCAACAAACACATTGTTTTTCAAAGTGAATCGTGAACAGGAATACTTCTCTTGGAGGAATACTGTATGTGAAGGCTAAACACAAGCAGGAAACTACATGAGGGAGCTAGTCTCCTTTTGAGGACAAACAATTTGCTTTCTCAGCATGGAACTGAGGAATACATAATACATTCGGTACGCTCAATTCATCAATGCATTGAAGTGTTGAAAGGCATATGTACAGCTATTGTTGATTTCCATGTGGAGACTCATTAACTATGTCTAAGCTTGAAGTCCCGACATGGACTTTCATCTGCTCCGGCGCTAATGCACTTGGGTAAATCTCTTTCCAGCTTCTGCTTCGGCGCCGATGACCACTTCACCATTCAATACTTTGACGGAGTCCTTTTTCGGCTAGGGTGAGTATTGAGGGCTTACCATATCATAGTATATATGCAGACAGACATCAGATTGTCTCCTTGGCTGCATTTACCACAGACGTGGTAAACAACACAGTGGAAGTCAACGCCGAGTTCGAATTGTCAAAATACCTTGTGGTCATGGGCGCGTGTAATGAAAGCTTAGAGTGTGTTCAACATGAAAGAAACTCATTGTTCAAATTCTTTCAGAGTCGGCATTTGGTGTGACACCACGTTGAGTGTAGATGATGACTTAGTACTGTATAACACTGCAGTTTTGGCTGACGATGGCCTCGTACCCAAATGGGATAGCCGGGGGTGTGTTCTCGGTAAATATACCGAGTCTCGGTGGCTTTCGGTGTATCTCGGTGTAGATGCCGACTCAACTGTCGGCTGAATGTTTAGCCCCGGAACCGAGCTCAGAGCTCCTCGTATGGTTGCCGAACCCAATTGCCATGCCATGCGGGTCCCCCCACCTCGGCTTTGGGGATCAAGCTGGGGAAATTGAGTGGAAGAAGGGGAAGAGCTATTCTCCCTGACTAGTGGTACAACGCTCAAGCTCCCCCGGTTACCAAGCGACATCGCTCACGTTTACCCGACTCTTTTTCGAGACAGCCTTGGCCGAGGGCTACTTTCTAAACTTTGTTTCCTCCTTTCTGTTCAACAAGTCTGGCTTCCTGTCAACATACACAGTTAATTGACGGCCGTAGCTCCGAGAAACACCACAAACATGTCTATCCCCAAAGGAATCTCGTCCGTCTTGAAGAAGGCGCCCTCCGACGTCGTCATTCTGTCGTCGCTGCGTACACCCGTGTGCCGGTCGAACCGCGGACAGCTCAAGGACGCATACCCCGAAGAACTGCTTTCGACCGTTCTCAAGGCCACCCTCGAGGCCAACCCGAACCTCGACCCCAAGAAGATTGAAGATGTCGCCGTCGGCGTCGTGCTGTCGGAGCTCGGCGGCTCCAAGGCTGCCCGCATGGCTATGAACCACGTCGGCTACTCCAACGACACCTCCCTGTACACCGTCAATCGCGCCTGCTCGTCATCACTGCAGTCAATTGCCCTCATAGCATCGCAAATCAGGACCGAAACGATATCGGTGGGTATTGGGGCCGGAATGGAGAGCATGACCCGCAACTACGGCAGCCGTGCGATCCCAGTAGACGTGTGGCCCGCTCTCAAGGAGTCACCGGTCAAGGACGCGAGAGATTGCATCATGGCCATGGGCATCACATCTGAGAACGTTGCTGAGCGCTACGGCGTCTCCCGGGCGGACCAGGATGCGTTCGCGCTGCGCAGTCACCACAACGCCTCGAGGGCGAGAGAAGATGGCTCCTTCGCCAAGGAGATTGTTCCCGTCACAACAAGATTCCAGGAGACGGACAAGCAGGGCAACAAGGTCGGAGAGGAGCAGATAATCACAGTCACCAAGGACGACGGCATTCGCGCCAACATGGCGATTGAGGCCTTGCAGAAGCTGAAGCCGGCATTCAAGGCTGATGGCGCCAGCACAGCCGGCAACTCGTCGCAAGTGTCTGATGGCGCGGCCGCGACGCTCTTGATGCGCCGAAGCACCGCCACAGAGCTGGGCCTCACCGACAGCATCATCGGCAAGTTCGTCGGAGCCACCACCGTTGGATGCGCTCCCGATGAGATGGGTATCGGACCCGCCCTGGCGATCCCCAAGCTTCTGGGCCAGTTTGGTCTGGAGAACAAGGACGTGAACCGCTGGGAGATCAACGAGGCCTTCGCCAGTCAGGCCATCTACTGCCTGAGAGCGCTTGAGCTGGAGCAGGCTTACGAGGATGGCAAGGTCAACCCTGACGGTGGTGCTATTGCCCTGGGCCACCCTCTTGGTGCCACCGGTGCCCGCATGACGAGCACCCTGCTCCACGGTCTCGGAAGATCTGGAGGTGAGGTCGGTGTTGTGAGCATGTGCGTCGGCACAGGAATGGGCATGGCTGGCCTGTTTGTAAGAGAATAGAGTGTTTGTATGAGATTGAAACTACCAGCATATATCTGTGCCGCATTCTGATCCTTCGGAAATTCGGAACCCATGTCTTCCAACTGCTTGCTCCAGTATTCGCGGCGCCAAGTCTCAACGATCGTCCCAAGGTGAGTTTCAGTCACCAGCCCAGGACCAACTATCTTCCTGTAATCGCAGTCACTCTTTGTTAATCGGGGCGGGATTAACTGTATAGGCTCCCGGTCTTCAATATCATTTCCCTGGCAACATGCATCTCCTCAGGATCGACACATACTATGTAGATAGATACATTAGGTCTGAGTCAATGAATAGGATTCCATTTAATTAGCAACCGCAACGATCTAGTGCCAAGAACGTGTACTACTTATGGAGTTTGGAAACCAATGGCCCCCTACTTCAACGTTGCTTTATCTTCAACGCGTTGGTGCAGGATAAGCGCCGGTTTCCAAGAGTGGCACCAGACAATGGACACTCATAGCCAATCACCCCACAGACAAGACATGCAGAGATGCAGACAACCAACCCATCTTGGCCTTCTGTCGGGTCACATACGACATTCAAGCAGGACGATCATTGGTGCATTCCCCGTCGCTTGGGACAGGACTGCAGGGGCGCAGATACTTGAATCTCGATAATCACGCTGTGAGCAAGTCTGCGCAAGCGCCGTGGCGGAACCTTTGCCTCTCTTTCCTCTACAACCCCGCGCATGATCCTTCCGGTGATATCGCACTCTTGCTCTGGAAACTTGAACTTCGAAAAGAGATGGAAGTCGTCGGGGCGGTGGCAAGCTTCATAGCCATAGGCCAGGCTTTAAGCACCGCTCGCCATGTCGCTCACATTGCCCGAGCGATCCCAGGGGTGGAGAACGAGATGAGGTGGCTTCAAAATGAGGTCTGTGACAACAATTTCAGATCATGATAATTCTCAAAGATCCTAAAGAGTAGAAATTTCATACGCTAACCTCCACCATGATGCTGTAGGTCGAAGCTCTGAAATTGATCAAAGAAGAACTCGCTAGGGCGGGAGTCATTGCCAATGATTCAAAATGCGAAACGCCATTCCTAGGAAAGGCTATGCTTCAGCTTACAGAATCCACGAGAAGCCTTGAAGAAATCCGAAAACGCTGCATCCGATCACCGAGTGCCGACAGCAAAGGCAAGGTCAAAAAGAGAGCATGGTTCTGGCTACAGGCCGAGCTCTCCGATTGTCGAGGCAAAGCGCGAGACGCCAGAGAGAACCTCCAACTTGCGCTCCAAACAATCAATACTCAATCTATCACGTAAGACTCATGTCGTCAACTGCATACAATTGCTGTTCAAAAGCTGAAGAAATCGTGATGTGCTCTAGGAAGCTCGTTCTGCGAATCGAGAGTCTGAGCATGCAGATGGTTCCCCATGTGCAACAGCTTGAAAGTTCTACAGGCAATGGAGACGCTGCAGAGAGTCCACCATACAAGGACGAGAAGTCATCGTGTCGTGATGAAGACTTGGAAGCACTCCAAGACGACGAACCTCTCCAGGTCGTGGTTGTGGGACAAACTCAACAAGCCTTACCCAATCCTCAAGCATCGGCGACCACTACCTTATCCACTCCTCAGGCTTTGGGTGTTCTTAACCAGACATTAGGTCTTCTGCAAGACCGATGCTCAATTCCATGTTGCTGCCGGTGCCATGTTTCGAAGCCAGTGTCGTACACTCCCACGAGATGGGCTCGGAGCTTGGTGGGCAGTCTTATGGTCAGCTTCAACCGTCAATTGAGTTTCAAAAACAGCACGAAGTGCACCGAGGCTAGCTGCAAAAACAGAACGGGGACATCGATAACAGTAGAGTATCAGTTCCCGGTTTGGCTTTGTTCCAGAGCAGTCCAAATGCAGACCTTAGTAGGCGCTACGACTGGGCTGCGAGTGTCTCTTAGACCTGCCAGGATTCTCCCCTTTGGTTCGAATTTTTGGCTTGCCACTGATTCTGATCATTCTCTGAGTTCGACAGTAACAGTCCAACAGTGGATGCTACATTATGGAAATGTATTCCCAGGTGACACAGACCCAGACGGCGTGACTGCCTTGGAGGTAAGCCTTCTACCAGTTGTTTCTGCTCGCACACCCATGATTGATAAAGCAGACAGCGTGTCATAGGACAAGGATCAACTGATGTACTCCTCTATCTGTTCCAGATCTGGGAAGACCAAATACTGAATGGAAATTATGATGAGTAAGTTTGTCAAAGTTTCGAAATCTCTACTAGGTTCTGGCGAGTAGCTACATATTGACCAGGTTTTCTTTTTTTTTTTACAGCTCTTGGTTCTACAAGACGCACCATGAAATTACAAACACGCCTTCTCTACCCGAACAGAAGATGCAAGTACTTACACGAATTCTGTCTGCTGGCAAATGGACCGTGAATGCCAGTCAGACCCCGCTGCATGGTGCTCTTTGTCGGGGCGATTTCGAAGCTGCTTTTCAAGCTGCCGGAGATTTCAGTTGGGCCATCAATCAACGGAACTACGAAGGCAACACGCCGCTACATATTGCTGCAACACAAGGTCATCTTAATAGCGTCAAACACCTCGTACATTTAGGATGCGATATCAACGAGGCTGACTGGACGGGCTGTACTGCTCTAATGCTTGCTTCCAAGGCCGGCCATGTTCTCACGGTACAATACCTGATTGATGCTGGCAGCTGGGTGAATGTCACTAACAGGAGGGGCGATACTGCGATGATGGTTGCTGCCATAGCGGGGCACAATAATCTAGCTACAATTTTCCAGGCTCTGATCCGAGCGGGAGCATCAGTAAGCACTACTGACACACAAGGCTGTAGTGTCATCCATCACCTTACGTCGTCTGGCAATAAACGTCGCATTATTCGAGAGAGCTTAAGAGTCCTCCTAGAAGCCGGTTCCGATATCGAATCGCGAAATTGTCGTGGGAGAACTCCGCTCTTGGTTTCGGTTAACAGCGGAGATCGCCGAGGTACACAATGCCTGATTGAGGCAGGAGCCAAGATAACATGCGTAACACACGATGGTTGGGGCTTACTTCACGAAGCAGCTCTGTATGGAACCAATAAGTTACTCCGATATCTTTCAACTCTCAACTTACAGGCTATAAACACGGGTCTACGTAACAGCGACGGAGAAACGCCTTGGGATTTCTTGTCTTTCCCCATCCATGCGCAGGATTGGCAACGTGCAGGGACCTTAACACTGACCCCAAAACGACAAGAAGCTTTTGTTTCATTGTTCAAATCAATCAGAGACAGAAATCTGACGGTTGATATAGAGCGGCTGGATTGGCTACTACAATATTTGAGAGACAGGGATCAACGAGGCGCCATAGCTGCACTGGAACCTCTGATCAAGCAGAAAGAAGATTGGAAGCGATGGGAAATTCTTGGCACATATAAAGCCATCGGCTTACAGATCCGAGAAGAGATGTGGGAGGCAGCAGTTGAGTCTGTTGAAGAGGTTATCGACTGCTTGCGAGAAAGAATGGCCACATCCCCGCGCGACAGCGAATCGTACTACGATCCAAACACTCATACCATTTACCGAGCCAGAGAACTTGTATGATTTCCAAGCTATCAAGGCTGGATCTCAAAATGATGGATGGGAAGGCACAGTCACTGAAGGATGGATTATGAGTTGCTACATTTAAATAAAGTCGCAGAAGCGACTTTTGATGTAAGCAATGGACCTATACGAGGACAAGTTGAGTTCTTTCAATACATAACTCATTCAAGCTGTAAAGCTGCAACCAAGTCAAATTGTTAGTATAACCATTAGCAGGACAGCCTTGCGGCCATTACGAGGTTCGATATTCAACTTCGTATAGGGGTATATAGAAGGAGGAAGTTGGTAGGTAGAGCCTACGATTCCTCCGTGGGTATAAGTAGGTAGAAGGGCCGTTGGCACGGGCCCTGGTCGCCTACCTACCTATCCACCTTTTCTGCCTAATATTCCAACACGAATATCTACTGGGGTGTACAAACCACCCCAATCGTAAACTCACCAATATCTTTACTAATTGCAAGTCGTTGTGACTTGTCAAAGCAGTTCTTGTTCTGTATTTTCTAGAACCTTCTGGGTAGAATTAAAAGGCATACACACCACGCCTACGAGAGCTCGTCAACGGCAATGCCCGAGATAGCAGGTTATCAACCACTGGCAAACCATATCTCCGCCTGTCATCAACCATCATGAGGCTCAGAAACAGAAAGGATTCAATAGTCCCCAAATGCCATGGCATGCATCGTCCGGGACCACCGAGTCCTTACTCAGGTTCCAACCATCAATTGTCCATGCCTCCGGCCACGCACCTCGAGAGCCATTGATCCACCCAACACGTTTCCGAACGAACCATATGTATCCCCTTCACACACCTCCTCCATATTCCCGGTCTCAGAGTCCCAACACAACTGGCCCTAATGCCACTAACCCCAGGCTAACCCCAGCACTTTCCATTCCCTCGGGCCTTGGCACGCGGGGCTCGATTTCCCCATTTCCACAGTTTGGGTGCTGTGGGTTGCTGCTCTCGCTCCAGTTGCAGTGGCTGACCAACTCCAACCTCTCCAATGGCGGCGGGTGTTGGTGCTTCGTGGGTTTGACTGACTCTTGGCCTCGCACGCTATCTCCTGCTTATCCTCCAGACGGCTTGTCTCATCGAAGCCCCCCCTTGCCCTTATCCATTCCCATCGACCGCCTCTTTCTTTCTTCTCCTTTCGGATCCCAAATCTAACCCCCGAGAACCCCGCGTTTGCTGCCCAGAAACGCGGCTCCGACTTGTTGGAATCTGTCGCAATCTGGTAACTTCCCCATGGGTCGTTTCCCCAGCTATCCTCTAAAACGTACCGGATCTCAAATGTTGCCCCCGCTGATCCAATTACCCCGGATTCGGGGATCACTCGTAGAAATGACCTTTACGTGGGGTATTAACGATGCAACAGTCTTCAAAAGTTCATAAATACCACGTTCCTGCTGATTGTCCAGCATTTCGGGTTGGTTGACAGAACGAATCAAGAGGCTGTGACTCCATCCTCGTTTATGCTTATTTCTTAGACCGCAACTCTCTTCACCGCATAGTTTAGCCCCGCCGATCCCTCTTTTTTCTGACAACCCCCCCTTTCCCCGAAAAAACAGACTTTGCTAGGCGCACAATCGGGCCCGAGCACGATATCAATATCAGCAAAATCTACAATGGGTGCGAGCGAGAAGCGTTCACCTTCGGTGGAGCGCGAAGAGCATGCCATCCATACCGTTGACAGTGTAATCATGGACGAGAAGCCGATTCCTAAGGATGAGGAGAATCGCGACTGGACCGGTTCTGCGAAGAAAACCGACCCGGAAGAGATCAAGCTGGTGCGGAAGCTAGATTGGCGGATCATGGTAAGTTTTCAATACCTCCGACAACACAGATGCTCGTTCGTTATCTAACAACTCCTTCAAACAGCCGACACTCTGTATCATGTACTTCTTGAGTACGATTCCCCGCTCGAACTCCCATCATCAGATTACCTGACTGACCAATCAGACTACGTCGATCGTAATGCCATCGCTCAGGCACGACTGAACAACTTGGAGAAGGATTTAGGCATGTCGGGAACCGAATTTAACACCACAGTTTCGATGTAAGACGCGAAGCTCTGCCGATTAACAAAAAGAGAGGACTCTGGCTAACAACTCCGCAGTCTCTTTGTGGGCTACGTTCTCATGCAGATTCCGTCCAATATGTTGATCACTAGGATTCAACCTGGCATGTACATGAGCGCGTGGATGTTGATCTGGGCTGTAGTCTCAGGTACGAAATCTATCAGATTATGAAGTGCTCTTCAAGTCTAACAGACATTTAGGTTGCACGGCACTTGTCCAGAACTACGGAGGTCTTGTTGCTTGCAGGTTCTTCCTCGGTATTACCGAAGCTCCCGTACGTCACAACATCAAACGTCGGGTTATGAGGCCTCTCACTTACACGGAGTAGTTCTACCCAGGCGCAACGTACATGCTATCAATTTTCTACACCCGCAAAGGTCAGCTGCTTCCTCACTCTCCATCCAACCTCTAACGTGATTATCAACTAACACACCCCACAGAGGTCGCCTCCCGCATCGCCCTCCTCTACTGCGCCCAAATCCTCGCAACGGGCCTCTCCTCCCTCATCGCAGCCGGCATCTTCGCCGGCATGGACGGCCTCAACGGCATCGCAGGCTGGCGCTGGCTCTTCATCGTCGAGGGCGCCGCCACGGGCCTCGTCGCCCTCTTCGGTTTCTGGCTCCTCCCCAATACGCCCCTGACGACGCGCTGGCTCAACGACCGTGAGCGCGAGCTCGCTCACTCCCGCATGGAGAAGGATAAGCTGTCCGACTCGGATGATAAGAAGGCTTCTGCTATGGATGGCCTGAAGCAGGCTGTGAGGGATAAGAGGACGTGGTTGTTCTGCTTGATGCAGAATTTCCATCTGAGTGCTTGCAGCTTCAACTCCTTCTTCCCTGTACGTACCACTTCTCTTATTGCGGTTGATTGAAGGTACAAGGCTAACGAAGACTAGACTGTTGTCAAGACTCTGGGTTTCAACACCACCATCACCCTCGTCATGACCTGCCCGCCTTTCATCTTCGCCGGTGCCGCCGGTATATTGTTCGGCTGGAGCTCCGGTAGACTTCACGAGAGAACATGGCACATTACAGTCGGCCTCGGCGTCGCGATCCTTGGCTTCGTCGTGGCGGCCTCGACGCTCAACACAGCGGCTCGCTATGTTGCCTGCTTCATCTTCCCTATGGGAGCCTATGCCGGTTAGTGCTCATTCTCGCTCTTCATGACCAAGACATTTTGCTGACTCGCCGTGTAGTGAACTCCGTCATCATCGGCTGGGCCTCTTCGACGCTATCACAGACTAAGGAGAAGAAGGCAGTCGTCCTCGCCATGACCAATGTCGGTGGCCAGATCGGCTACATCTACGGTGCCTACCTCTGGCCTAAGAGCGACGAGCCCCGCTACGCTATTGGTTTTGGTGCCTCTGCTGGCTTCGCCTTGCTTTCAATCCTTTGCGCCTGGTGGATTCGTGTCTTGCTTGTCAGGGAGAACCGGAGGATTCGGGCTTCTACCTCGGAGAATGTGAACTTGTATGGATACTAAGTGACCCAAGATGGGCTTGCTGTTGTAGAGCTTAGAGCTTGGTGGTGCTGTGTCCTCTCCGTATGGAAGCGTCGGATAATGTAGCAGCAATGACTGCGGCCATGCTATCATTGTGAAAGAGTTATGTGAGCTTCAAATATGACGCCACGACTTTTGAGCAGATATAAGATTTCCTACTGGATTATCATTCTACACATGAGTAAGCTCAATTCCCGAGTGAAGTCCGGCGGGGAAAGACATGGATCTCGCCTTGTTATCGAACGATGGTAATGAGTAGCACGCCTGCCGCTTCCAAGTTTCAAGATTTCATACAGCGCGATACAATTGTGCATCCATAATCATCAAACTCATTGCCCAAGGCTTCTTAGCTAGTATTTCTTGCAGAAAATAGCTAAAGGAGAGAATAGCTCTAGGTTGAGGCTGCTTTAGTAACGTCGTGGGACAACCAACTACTGAACAACAAATTGAATGATAAAAGACTGCACAGTCTGGCAGCTTTGATCAGATAGTCACGTTTTCCAAAATATTGTCTGAGCTCACACAGATGTGTAGCACGCCTATCCAGCCCATGCAGAAGACCAGATTCCTCGGGTGTGCTCAATGTTGCCACGAGATTAGCCCATGGATCATGGCCAGCCTTCAAACCTCAACATGAACCCAAAATATTCACTTGAAATATATCAACAGTTGTTTCATCGTTCGCCTTAAACTCCCGATTCATGCAGCTGACATGTTCCGTCGACGTCCGTGGTTTAGTAGGGCTGAGGCCAGTGCAACGATGGCTTTCATCCTATGGTAAATCGGGGTGCAGTGCTATGTCTCCTCCAAACCAATTATGTGATGTACAGCATCAAAGTTCCATGGGGCGCGCTCTTCCTTTTCTTCGTATAAGTCCATTTTTCACCTTAATATCACAGAACGCTACCTCAATAGTCGCGATGCGAGGAAGAAGCATCCTTTCCATGCCTCATTCACGACAGTGATGCCACCTTCCTGCTACCTACTTATCAGCCTTATGGCGTTGGGCGAAATAGCTTGCATCTTCGAAGCCAGAGGCTGATCCGATCTGTAGCTTATGGAGCCTCATTGATCATCTTGATACTTGCAATAGTGCGATGTCGAAATGAATCTCGGTACCCTCACCCCATGTAGTCGTCCACGTTCAACACGGCACGCTGTACTCCTGAATCGATGATTACAATGGGGTAGAAGGGCATGCCTTTACTGATCACATCCTCTACACTGTTCAACTCCGAGAGTCTAGCAGTACTATGCGGTAGTCACGCTTCGTATCAACAAGTATCACAAGATCGACCTTACCAGCCAACTATTTCGTCACAACTATCTCGAAGCATCAAAGGATAGCCGCCACAACGTGAACACGATTGCAGTCGTCCCGAAAGAGAATTACTTTCGACCAAATGAGACGATGCACAAAGGCCGATCTACTAATCATGTGAGGTTCCGACAGTCTGAAGTTGAGTTATGCGTGGCATCATCTGCCACCGTTGAATAAGGGGTCTCGCCATGCTAATCATTGAGTCGGCTTATCGGCTGCGATTTACTGCCCGCTGATAATTGGAATAGCCATGATGTTAATCCGTTTCAGGTCTAAACTGCAAAGTGGCTCATGGATGAGTTGTCAAACATGACGACAAACGTTAACTTGTATGACGTTGAACCTTGATATCGTCCATCGAGGCTGTCAAGGGCGGCACGACTCATGCAGTTGGAAAGACGCACCGGCCAAGAACACGTCTCTGCATGTACCTGAGTGGGTGGCCTAACTTGTTTCTCCATCCAGACACTATTTACCTCACGGGGCGGGCCGGACGTGGTCTGGAGAAATGCATCACCTTATTCATGTGCCTTTAAAACCAGGTTCTCGGCGGCACTTGCTGCGTTTTGCCACGAATGATATACAGGCCGAGGTTTCCGGGTGCATACACAATCAGTCATCACACGACTCGACTGTCCCCCTTTGGGACAGCATCTGCCCTGACCCATCTGAACAACTTGCCTTACCAAGTTGCGGGGGCGGAGCTCGAGTGGTTCGGATGGTCCCTTGCTTGTCTTTAGTATAGATGTAGACCCGTGGTGAGGCCTATGTCCGATCAGGTCCGGGCCCGGGGAAAGCACAATCTTAGCTCCGGATGAATATATGGGGCCGTTGACGGGCATTGTATCTGCCGCGAGATTGCCAGTATCAACGTGACTTACGTAGAATAGGGCGTGTACGGAGTACATGAAAGTGAAGAAGGTTGAATTTGGGCAATGCCAAAAAGTCTGCACGTGAAATCCGAGGCTGTCGATGCCGTTGACTGATTGTCAAACGTAGCAGAAACTTAATGATCAATCTGCTAAGACCGTGCTGCTGCTGGTGCGCAGTGCAGGTTCTTCTCCAGGTTCATCATCCGTTGTCAATGGTGGGGAGGAGCTTCTGCCGAAGGGAAGAATCCTGGGATAGTCGCGCTAGTCCTAATAGGGGAGTATTGTTGGCTGTGAGAGTCCCTGTCATCGTCGAATCTCGTTAAGGTCAGTACTGGAGCGGATGTGACTTTGTCAGACAGATAACTATGAGTGAGGCCGGGAAAAGACGGAGGTCGGCAGTGTCTTCCTCTCTGAGCGATATGGAGGGATGGGCGCGCCATCGGGGCGATCCCGGAGTCCGACAGAAAGCTATAAAAAATCAATTGGTCCGACTGGATGCTAGGTCACCAAAAGCCGGGGTTTTCAGGCTCAGGCTGACGCACAGTTCCGAGAGAGAGGGAGCTGGTGTGGTGAGGGTTGCAGGGCCGAGCAGAGCTGGATAGGGTGGACTGGGCTGGGCCGGGTGTGGTTTTTACGGGCAGTGCGTTTCTCTGTACAGCGTCTTCCTGGCTGCGCTGCGTGAAGCTTGAAGGGCGGTACGTAAGATTGACTGTGGGGGTTGCCTCTAATGCGGGCTGATGAGCGATGCCTGGTTGGGCAAAGTGATTTGACGAGTTTGACGAGTCACGTTGATTAGTGTTTCCTGTCCCGTTTTCGAATTCGCGTTCGTATTGTGGATACGGCAGACATATTAGCAGAGGTGCCAGTGCAATCTCTACAATAGGTCTTCGTACTAAGTACCGTATACAATGATTGGTATGCACACTCGAGGCAAGATCAGGCGTCTAAATCATCATCGGCCATGTTGCGCCCTATCTAGCAGCTTTGGTGAAGTGACTCCTGCCGCTGCTAGGTGACTTTTCAATCTGAAATGGAAGTTGAGAGACGCTTTTGTGTCTTTGCATCGATTATTGGCGACAATTGGGACTGGAGTATGGATGCCATCATCCTTGTGCGTTCCGGAGTTGCTGCCGCCTGCCGTCTGTGAATAGCCGCCACTTGGGTTGGTCGCATCGGTGTGATAATGCGCCAAATTTGGCACTTGGGGTTGCTAATGGTACACATGGCGGGCAGTAGCGACGGATCCGGGGTACCGGTATTGGGTCGTGATCGCGTGTATCCTGGTGTTCAAGCGTCACCACACGCATCGGGGAATCAGAAGCCTCGGCCCATCGTGATCCAATACTACCAATGTCGATCTCAGCCGCCGACATCTATCTAAATCGGCCAAAGTTCCGACGGGTGGTGGAACCCCGAGACCACGGAGCCGTCATGAATTCCTCGGAAAGAGGCGCCCGTGACGATATGGATGATGCAGAACAAGTGGCGGGGTCGGACTCGGTGTTCGTCCCCGATGGTGGGATGTTGGTTACTGCTGAAGGCCTCAACGTGAGAGCTGTTTCTAGAGAGCCTTCTAGACCACTTCCTGATTTCCTCTTCCGCTCGTCTGGTGTGAGAGCGGGAGGCTTTTACGAACGAAGGTCCTGTCTTGTGACTACTTTAGCCTTGACGTGGTAGACCGTCAAACGTCGCTTAGGACGAAAGTTAGATAGTCGCGGTGTTGGGAGTCGGGACGAGTCAGCAGACAGACGACAGGCTCTGAGCTCTGAGGGGCAACTCAAAAGTCTGAAGGTCTGAAAGTCTGAAAGTCTGTTGTTTACTCCTTCAGTGGTGAGACTGCGCTAAGACGTTGTCTCGCGGCGACTGCTGTTGATAGTCTGGCGTTGCTGCGCTGCCGTCATGCCATGTGGATTGCGTGACCCGGTGAAGACTACAAGGGGAAGAATGTGCCGTGGATCTCGGAGTACTGGTGCAGCCCGCCCGGTAAGTCATGACGGTCGGAGTGGATGACTCCAGTCGGAACCGGGAGACAGATCTCGGACGAAGCTGATTAATCTAATCTGGACGGGTCTGCGGTGCGGAGTAGTCTGTACTGCGCTGAAGGCTAGGAAGTACTGTATCTCTTGTTCAAACTCCGTAGTCTGTGATGTTGAAGCGCCAACTGACCCTTGGGCCCTGAGCCGGTGGGCGAGGCATGTGGGAATCTGAATGATGCAGATCTGGCGGACAGGTTTGCGGTTTGGCGGCGGGCCAGGGCCCAGGGGTGTGTGCGTTTGCCGTAAATCGTCGTATATCGGCTGTGCTGATCGCCCAGTTGGAACGGGCTGCGACGTGGCCAGGATCGGGTCAAGGCGCATCTTTTCCGAAGAGTGCGTGAAGATATTTACTACCCTGAGTTCAAACTGCTCGTCTGTCTTTCTGCTGTGTCCACAAGATTAGATGTGTTCATAGAATTCGTTTCTCTTGCCATTATGCCGGAGCATGGTGATGAGAACGTCTGAGGAACAAAAAGCTTCCAGCGAACCTCAAGCTCCATAGTAGTTGGTCGCATGGTATTCATTCGCCTGGTGCGTGTAAGATTGGATTGGCGATAATGAATTAATTGGTGAGATGAGTTTCTCAAGTCCAGAGTGTACCCGTAGGTCCAGTGTGGACGTGTGGTGTCAAGCGTTTTCGGTGGCCGGTGACGGATGGCGAGCCCCGGCAGGCGAAGGCGCAGGTGTACCGTGTGGGTCCAGCCGGAGGAAAGCACGAGCAGGCTTACCTGCGGACCTGCCGCCTGCGGGTTGTCGGGGTGCTCGAAGAACCCGAGACAAGCAAGCACCACGCTTCAGTGGCTGCCTCGCTTGCGGCTCGTTGGTGACCACCCCTTTTTTGTGGTCAAACGAGCGGTACGTATCGATGAGTGGCGTCCTTCTAGCTCCATGTCAAATTTCCAATTAGATGTTGAGCGGGCCTTGCTGCTTCTTTAATGGGTCATCTTGGGGATACGTAGTCTATGAGTGGGGCCGCCCGAGGGAGCGGGAACCTGTAAACTCTGGCAATCTGGGAAAGAAGGCGCTTTGCGGGCGAGGCAAGACAGCTGCTCGTCCAATGGGCAACCACGATTCACGAATGAACCGAATGAGAAGAGAAAGTTGTTACGAATGTCGCAGGAGCCCAACAGGGGAGGCTCCCTCCTTTCTCAGTGGCCCCAGTGGACATCATTTCTACTGGTGCTCCGCTCGTATGAACATCCGTAAATCGAACAGGGCCAAGACTCAACACACATTCGCTACTGCAATGCTGACCGCGACTGGCAACGAACTGGAAGTTGTTTGCTTTGGTAAAGATTCCACGTATGTACCTCAACCAGGTGGAAAAAAGGAGTCTTGATCGCACCCGATAGCAGGGCTGTGCCAGTCTTTCGTGCCATCCATCTAACCTGTCGTGGATACTCACACCCTCAATCAATGGAACCTTCTCTCACCTTGTTGTCGGTACAGTTTGAGCAGCCTCATTGGGCGATTATCGGCCTGATAGGGCGTTTCGAGGGGCAACCCAAGTCAATTACGCTGTGCCTGCCATGATGCTGGGAAATGGAGGGGGGACAAGCTCAGACTGATGCTTACAAAATACTTGTGATACTCATAGAGTTCAAAGTGACAGGTTGGGCGGTCTTGTACGGACAGTTGGGGTTTCGAGAGTGCCAGATGGCACATGTTTGAGGCTTCTACGAATACACCTGTGCCTCGTTGTTCGCTATCCTATTTGCGCCATGGATATCCGTGATGAGGTGAGATTGGCAAGCCCACACAGCCTTATTATGCAGCTGGTATTGGGTTGCTGTTGTTGGTGTTATCCGCCATGACATGTCAATTGTGCCCCAGGATTGGATGCAGCCTGCAGCTGCTGCTGTGTCCGTAATGCATGCAAGTTTGCAACTGCAACTGCAGGGAAACGGTAACCCGTTGACGGCGTGTTACAGTCCCGAATGGAGGGCTAGACTCCCTGGCGGTTGGCGTCTCCGTCTCTCGATCTGCTACCCAAATGGTGTTGCTTGCGCCGGGAACGGGCAGTTGGTATCATGGCCTCGGGAATTGACAAGATGCCGATAGGGACCTAGAATTCAGTCTCGCAGGGCATTGTCCCGGGCCCCTGCTGCGATTTGATTGTTGGATCTTGGGGTGACAGAGAGACATGGAGACGTTTCTTTCTCTCTCCCTTTTTTGTCTGCCCTGGTGAGACGAATTACCAAGACCCTGTGTTTCTATTCATACCTGTATGTAGGTACTAGTTCGGAGTGGATCAGGAAATCAATCTGTGTACCGTAGTAATATCGGACTTGAAATGTCTTATGGCCGACTTCGCGGTCTTGTGCCCGACTTTTAATGTCAGCACTGCAGACGTTGTAGATACTGCGGACTGCATGTGGCGGTAAAAGCTTCTTGAATATGGTTAAGGTATGGTTGTTTCTTGGTCCCGCTCGAGAAAACCCCCCCGCATATCAGGTGAACGGGGCGGCTACGAGTCTATGAGCCTAGAGTTCGTCATTAACTCTGCGCCGTACAGGCTGGACCCTGACTCTCGGTGATGGTGAGAAGTCTCGTGGTGCATGCAAAGCCGGCGCTGAATACTGTGTATGGCGAGCTTGGTGTTTCTCAGCGCCGGCTATGTTGGACCGAATAACACGTGGCAGCGGGCCAATTTCGACGGTGCTTACGCCCCTGCCCGCGGAGTTTGGACGCTGGCAAATGTGCTCAAACGGTCAGAGTCATCTGCCAAGTCGAGGCTGAAGTAGTGATGGAGTGATGTTCAGCAAAAGTCCGCAAGCTTCAAAGTTTCAAAGTCTTTGCGCAAGGAAAATATCCGCACCTACTCGAAATGCATCTGCCACAGGGTGCCGACCGTCGATTCGGCGGACGTGGTGGGTTCCTCCCGGCGGATTCGCACCGCGCCTTCCATGGAACATGGTACCGGAGGCGCGACGTACCTGCACATTCAAATTTCAACAGAGTGAGAAAGAGAAGGAGCGAAGAGCTAGAGGAAGAAGCTAGGGGTTCTGGAGACTTTGTGGGCCCCGTCGAGCGCGTCATCCTCGCTACGGGAAAGAACCTCAGACTCTAGAGACCCGCGTGAGAAAAAGAGGTACGACGGTACTGCAGTACGTACCTCGTATCTTTGAGCTGCAAGCATCGTATTTTTTGCTGTGTTGCCGCGTGGGAAGGTACATCACCCGCCGCACTTTCCCTTCCATCTATCTACCTTAGCATCTGGGCCAAGCCAAGCAAGAAGGTCCCGCAATCGTATCCCTGCCCGGACGGTACGTACTCACAAATATACTGCACGCCAGCGGACATCCATTTCGGGACGTTTCGATTTTCTGACCTTGGCCCCATTGGACCTGGAGACTTTTCGGTGCCTTCTGCGGAGGGTATTTTGTCTGGTATTTTGCCTGGTCTTTGCCTTGCGACAGAAGTACCTACCTTACGTGTCTGTGGTGGGCATTTTTTGTTTTATTTTATTCCAGCTGCTTTGTTTTGTCATTTTTTTATTATTATTGCCCTTCTCCTTCAAGTTAAATCGAAAGCACCTACTACTCATTTGCCTGCCCCATGCTTACCCTCCCGGCCCAGGTCCATTCCGTCCCATCTTTCCCACCGGGGCGTGCTCCTTGACGCCGTGTGTATTTCGTACCTACGCAGTAAGGTACCTCAGTTGCCTTTCATCCTGGTCACCCCGAACTGCTGGGATCATCTTTTTTAATTCTCGCAGCCCTCCCACCACCACCTTCATCTGAGGTGCTTCTTTTACCCCTTCCTCTTCCGTCACCTTCGACGACTTCTCTCCTTTCCTCCTCACTTCCTTTTTTTCGCGTCGGTCCTTTAATCAACCAATACCCTCTCCGCCAGTCTATCTGTCTGGTTGGACCCTTAGTACCTAATACCGAAGATAATCAAGTAACCGCGCCGTCGGGAACCGACGCTGCGGAGAGAGCAAGAAGCAGCATCCTCGAATCTGTGCCCAGCGGGTGGTGACTTGTACACCCAGCAACACCAACGGCACTACCAACTAACAAGCGTCACTTCTCGATAATCTGGGATCGCGGTTGAGTCCGTCCCCTACGCATATCCGCCAACATGGCTTTCGCCGGGATGGCTTCCATTCCCAACTACGACAGCACGGCACAGACGTCTGGTGTTCCCATCAGCTCAGCTCGCAGCAACCACCATGAGGAGGAGGATATCGCTGCCGCCAACCAGAACACCGTCGACACCGCCGCCACATCCATCACCGAGGTAGCGGGGAGCGACAAGGCTCCCAAGAAGTCTTCAACCCCTTTTGACAGCGACAAGATCTCCGCTGAGGGTGAAGATGAGGATTCCGAGATGGAGCGCCGCCACTCCTTGGTGCAGTCGCTTGCCCGCAAGTACTCCCACGCCTCGGCTACCGGCACCGTGAGAGGGAACCCCTTCTTCGCCGATGAGACGTCGCCCCTGAACCCGAACTCGCCCGACTTTAATGGCCGTGCTTGGGCCCGCGCCATGGTCGACCTCGTCCAGCAGAACGGCGCTTCCTTCCGTACCTCCGGTGTCGCTTTCCAGAACCTCAATGTCTTTGGTTTTGGCCAGGCCACCGACTACCAGAAGGATGTCGGAAACATCTGGCTGAGTGTGGCTGGTCTCGCGCGTAAGCTTACCGGTGGAGGTGGAAAGACCAGAATCGACATTCTTCGCAACTTTGACGGTCTTGTCCGCAAGGGCGAGATGTTAGTTGTTCTGGGTCCTCCTGGCTCTGGTTGCTCGACTTTCTTGAAGACTATCGCGGGTGAGACTAACGGTCTCTACACCGACGACAGCTCCTATTTCAACTACCAAGGTAAGTGGCGTCAACCTCCCAGATCAGGCTTGCAGGGGTTCACCGAGGCTGGCGTCGAGTTTCCTCCTCGCTGCAAGACACTGCAACCGCCACTTGGTGTAACATCGTATGAATCGTTCGGTACTAACAGGGTTTAGGAATGACTTCTAAGGAGATGCACACCCAGCACCGTGGTGAGGCTATCTACACGGCCGAGGTGGACGTTCACTTTCCTCAGCTATCTGTTGGAGACACCTTGACATTCGCCGCCCGCGCCCGTCAACCGCGCCAGCTTCCCGAGGGTATTAGCAGCAATGACTTCGCCCAGCACCTGAGAGACGTCGTTATGGCCATGTTCGGTATCTCGCATACCGTGAACACGCGCGTCGGTAACGAGTACATCCGCGGTGTGTCGGGTGGTGAACGCAAACGTGTCACCATCGCCGAGGCTGCCCTCTCTGGAGCTCCTCTGCAATGCTGGGACAACAGTACCCGTGGTCTGGATTCCGCCAACGCCATCGAATTCTGCAAGACCCTCCGTCTGCAAACCGAGCTTTTCGACAGCACAGCCTGCGTGTCAATCTACCAGGCTCCCCAGAGTGCCTACGACCTCTTTGACAAGGTTGCTGTTCTGTATGAGGGTCGCCAGATCTTCTTTGGCAAGGCCACCGATGCCCGGCAATATTTCATTGACCTTGGATACGATTGCCCTGCCCGTGCCACCACCCCCGATTTCCTGACTTCCATGACCAGTCCTCAGGAGCGTCACGTTCGCCCCGGCTGGGAGAACAGGGCACCCCGTACCCCTGACGAGTTCGCTACCGCCTGGAAGAACAGCGCCAACTACACCGCTCTGCAAGCTGAGATTGAGGAATACAAGCAGACTCACCCTCTCAACGGTCCCGATGCCGAGGCTTTCCGTGCCTCGAAGAAGGCCCAGCAGGCCAAGGGCCAGCGCGCCAAGTCTCCCTTCACCTTGTCCTACGCCCAGCAGATCAAACTTTGCTTGTGGCGTGGATGGAGACGTCTGATCGGTGATCCCAGCATCACTGTCGGTTCGCTCATCGGGAACGTCGTCATGGGTCTCATTATTGGAAGTGTCTTCTACAACTTGCAGCAGGACACCCAGAGTTTCTTCCAACGCGGTGCCCTCCTCTTCTTTGCCTTGCTCATGAACGCCTTCTCCAGTGCCCTCGAGGTTAGTTGTAGAACCGTGGCATTAGAAAGTTATTCACAAGCTAACCTGAAATTAGATTTTGACCCTCTATGCTCAACGTCCGATTGTAGAGAAGCATTCCCGTTACGCCCTGTATCACCCGTCTGCCGAAGCCGTTGCGTCCATGCTGTGCGACATGCCGTATAAGGTCATGAACACAATCGTCTTCAACCTGGTCCTCTACTTCATGACGAATCTGCGACGCGAGCCCGGAGCCTTCTTCTTCTTCCTTCTAATGTCCTTCTTCACGGTCTTGACCATGTCAATGATTTTCCGAACCATTGCTTCGTCGTCTCGAACCCTGTCGCAAGCCATGGTACCTGCCGCCATTCTTATCCTGGATCTCGTCATCTTCACTGGCTTCGTCATTCCTATCGATTACATGTTGGATTGGTGCCGATGGCTCAACTACCTTGATCCTCTGGCATACTCTTTCGAGTCACTCATCGTCAACGAATTCCACGGTCGCAACTTCGCCTGCTCTGAAAGCCAATTCGTCCCCAGCTCTGCCGTTCCCGGCTACGCCAATCTCCCATCCGCCCAGCGTGTGTGTAGTGCCGTCGGTTCCGTTGCTGGTCTTGACTACGTGAGCGGCGACGACTACGTTGGTTCTGGATTCCGCTACTCGTATGCCAACCGCTGGCGCAACTTTGGTATCCTCATCGCCTTTATGCTTTTCTTCCTGATGACATACATGGTTACGGCAGAGTTGGTCTCGGAGAAGAAGTCCAAGGGAGAAGTCCTTGTGTTCCGTCGCGGACACAAGCCCGCTGCCCTCAACGAGAAGCACACTGACGACCCCGAGGATATCCGCGTCGGACCCGTGACCACCGCCGACCGTGCCCGCATCAACGAGAAGAACGACGGTCTCATTGAGGAACAAAAGTCCACCTTCCACTGGAACGACGTCTGCTACGAGGTCCAAATCAAAAACGAGACGAGACGCATTCTGGATCACGTCGATGGTTGGGTCAAGCCTGGTACTTTGACCGCCCTCATGGGTGTGTCAGGTGCTGGCAAGACCACGCTTTTGGACTGCTTGGCTGACCGTACCTCTATGGGTGTCATCACTGGTGAAATGCTGGTTGACGGTTACCATCGCGATGCTTCTTTCCAGCGCAAGACTGGTTACGTCCAACAGCAAGATTTGCACCTGCAGACCACTACTGTCCGCGAGGCTCTCAACTTCTCTGCCCTCCTTCGTCAACCCGAACACGTCCCGAGACAAGAGAAGCTCGACTACGTTGAGGAGGTTATTAAGCTTTTGGATATGGAAGAGTATGCCGATGCTGTGGTCGGTGTTCCTGGAGAAGGTCTCAACGTTGAGCAACGTAAGCGCTTGACTATCGGTGTCGAGTTGGTTGCGAAGCCTCCTTTGTTGCTCTTCGTTGATGAACCCACTTCTGGTCTTGACTCGCAGACTTCCTGGGCTATTCTCGACCTTTTGGAGAAATTGACCAAGAGTGGCCAGGCCATTCTCTGCACCATTCACCAGCCTTCCGCCATGCTTTTCCAACGTTTCGATCGTCTCCTTTTCCTCGCCAAGGGTGGTCGCACTGTCTACTTCGGCGACATTGGTGAGAACTCCAAGGTTATGACTTCTTACTTTGAGCGTATGAGCGGTATGACTTGCCCTCACGACGCCAACCCGGCCGAGTGGATGTTGGAGGTTATTGGTGCTGCTCCTGGATCCCACACCGATGTCGACTGGCACCAGGCTTGGCGCAAGTCTGAGGAATTCCAAGGCGTCCAGGCCGAACTGCAGAGACTCAAGGACGAGCGCGGTGTTCAGACCCCTGCTACTCACGACAAGGGCAGCTACCGCGAATTTGCTGCTCCCTTCTTCGCCCAGCTCAAGGAGGTTACCCACCGTGTCTTCCAACAGTACTGGAGAACGCCCTCGTACATCTACGCCAAGGCTGCGCTTTGCACCCTGGTCGCTGCATTCATCGGTTTCGTTTTCTTCAAGGCTCCCAACACCCAGCAGGGTCTCCAGAACCAGATGTTTGCCATCTTCAACCTACTCACCGTCTTTGGCCAACTCGTCCAGCAGACCATGCCTCACTTTGTCATTCAGCGGTCCTTGTACGAAGTGCGAGAGCGGCCGTCCAAGGTCTATGGCTGGAAGGTCTTCATGCTGAGCCAGATTATCGTCGAACTTCCCTGGAACACCCTCATGGCTGCCATTATGTACTTCTGTTGGTACTACCCCGTCGGCCTGTATCAGAACGCCATTCCCGCCGATCAGGTTACTGAGCGTGGTGCGCTGATGTTTCTGTACCTGCTCGTCTTCCTGCTGTTCACGTCGACCTTCACCGATTTCATTATCGCCGGATTCGAGACCGCCGAGGCTGGTGGCAATATTGCCAATTTGCTATTCATGCTTTGCCTCATCTTCTGCGGTGTGCTCGCCAACCCCGACTCCATCCCTCGCTTCTGGATTTTCATGTACCGTGTATCGCCATTCACGTACATTGTTTCGGGCATGTTATCTACGGCTGTCGCCAACACAGAGGTTGTCTGTGCTGCCAATGAGTTCCTCCACTTTGATCCTCCCTCAGGACAAAGCTGTGGAGCCTTCCTCGAGAAGTACATCGCGGCTGCTGGCGGATACCTTCGCGAGCCTAACGCCACCACCGACTGCCAGTTTTGCACCATTCAGGACACCAACGTCTTCCTGGCGAGCGTCAAGAGCGACTACAATGATCGCTGGAGGAACTTTGGCATTGCTTGGGTCTATATCATCTTCAACATCTTCGCCGCCCTGGGCTTGTACTGGTTGGCGAGAGTGCCGAAGAAGGGCGGCCTCTTTGGCAAGAAGAAGACTGAGTAAGGGCGTCTTGGCAAAAAAAGTTTTTCTTTAGACGAAAAGGATGAGAAGAAAATGAGAGCAAATGACACAAATGTGGGAGGGATTATGTGTGTACGAGTGAGCGAGCTATTTAGAAAGGAGAGCTCGGGTGCGAACCTGGAGACCATTTCTTCACCCCTTCTGGTGAACTGGTCAAGTATTTATGTCATGTCTGCTTTGTTGATATCCTGCATTCGGGATGCTGTAGAGACAGTACACCCCCCATTCTCATTATTGTTACTCTTAATAGATACCTAGAAGCAAGATTCTTTGAACGAACGAGATTGTCCCTACATCTGTCCTGTGCTAAGGAACGGATTATGCGTGCTTGAGGATTGCCTGCGGAGATGTAAGAAGTGCAGTGAATGTGACACAATAATGCACCGCCAGAGCAGGGTCCTTGAGTGGTTGGCCCGAATAGGGAGCGGCCGACCCCATCTACATCATCCATGAAAGTCAGAGGATTGCAAGCAAAATCTACCTCGCCTTACTCCCTCCGGATGAGGTAAAAATGCAGTGCAGGGTTGACTCCTGTTGTGCACCGAAAACGCAAAATGCCTCGCCAGATCTGATGACGGGCTTACCACTTGCCAGCCTTCGACGCCAGTCTTTCAGGTAGCGTATACCATAATTACCAATGGCTGAGTAGCTGGGGCCTTGTTTCCTGGAGGTAGAAGTGGAGATTTTCATCATCATGAACGTTGATTGGGACGTGTCGGCACACCAAGGTTGACAACTTCACGTCATGCAGTCAGCAGTATCAGTTGCTCAAGGCCAGCCTGCTCTCCTTGCTGCGTATCTTATGCTGCGGTTGATTCAGGGCTGACTGTAAGGCAAAACTGAAGCATGATGGGATCCATGGGATCTGTTGCAGGCTGAGAGGATGTTGAAGGCAATTGTTGTCGTCGAGAGCCAATTTCCTTCTGACGCAACATATAGGTCAGTCGTTAAGAGTTTGTTGTGTTTTCGAGAGTAGCGTGTTTGCCTCGAGAGGGTTGCCCACTGAGCATGATGGCTTATGGAGTTGAAATCTACATATACAGATGTGCTTGATGAGAAGGCGAGAGCTGTGGCTTGTGGAGGCGGAAGCGAGATGTTCTGAAGGTGCCATCGCGTTGTAACCCCGGAGGTTTCTTTGTGGCTGGAGAATTTCACTCAGGCTGATCAGTTGGATGGTACAGAGCTCTTTTGGAGCAGCCAAAATTGCAGTGAATACGACAGGACACGTCCTGACGCTGAATCTGGTTTAGCGACCTTGGCATACGACTCTACGCATCTACTCTCACAATCATTCGCTCAAGAACGCCCTCTTCATTTTCCCCCTAGTCATGGGTATTCTGGAGCAAAACCATATACCGTAAAATGATCTACGTCCATCACAAGTTCACAACCCCCTTCACTTGCTACATCCCCCCTGCGCCCCGACAGTATAGGTAGCCCCCCGGATATCATTCGAGCCAGGCTTCCCCTTATCTTGACCGCGAGCATCCTCGATGGTGAAAGTACCGGCAAGGAAATCGTTTAGGTTCGCCGAGGTGTTGATGCCGTTGACGCGGTCGATGACATGGCACTGCTCGTTTTGGCAGCAGCATTGCGGCGTGCCTACAAAGTTGGGGCTGCCTCCGGTGATGGCGTCCGGGTCTCTGAAGATTTGAAAGGTTTTACACTTTTTAGCTTGTCTTTCGGCTGGAGGAAGTGGTCAGTTTGTGGGTTCCGGTAAGGAAGAGTGTAGAGTGAGTTGGTAAATACCTAAGTCTCTGTTTGGTAGAACTGAAGAGGCGACTAGGGTCGCGATGAGCGGGAGGATGTAAGTGCACTTCATTGTTGAGAGAATTTATAAGTTCAAACTTCAAAAGAGTAGCTTCAAAAACAGACTCGAGGGAATGACTTGTGGAATGGACTTGAGAGATGGACTTGAAAATGAAAGACAGACTTAAGATGCGAGTATCACCTTCCATCGTGAGAAGGTCCAGTCAGATGAGGCTTGTCTATATACTCACTTTGTTCAAATCCCGAGATGCATCGTTGCCCTTTTGCTCGCAAGTCCGACGGCGTTCATCGTCTGGAATTGTCATCTCAGCCCAGCCCTCTTGGAAAGCTCGGATGATAGATCCGACTCCGAGTCAGTCTACAAGGGGTTGTCAGCGAGAAAATCGACTCGACCACCTTCTCAAGACCTTCTGAAAGCTTGATTTCCGGAAAGTCGGAAGCGCGTGCTCAGTTAGAGTTCAAGGCAATGCACAAGGGATGACAACTCCTTATCTTCCTACCACGTTCCTGAGAACCAGCTAAATTGTGCACGTCCACCACACTATCCGGTCCTAGGCCTACGATGAGAAGGGCCCTAGAGAGCAGAGCCACGATGGTTCCAGGACAATGATAATAAGCTTTTAAGTATCGTTGCAGATTCTCATGTACGCGTACGGGTCTCACCATTCTAAGGACACAGACACGGGCGTTCCGGCCAGAGTTGACCACTTTTCCCCGATTGGTTCACAAGCATCAGAGGATGAGCCTCCGATGCGATCAGACGTGTGTTATTCCACACCATTGGTGTCAAACATAAGGAAATGAGTGCTCATGTTCGTCCATTCTCTCTGGGTGCGAGTGTTGCACAGCGTACCGCAATTTCAGGGACTAGGGACCACGTGGAAAGTCTGATGGGCCGAATGTGTACCATGGTTCAACCTACTCGGCTATTGCCGTCTTGGCAAGAAGTCAAAACCATTTCTTCGGAAAGAATTGGACTGTCGTTCACCCGTGGAGATTCAGACTTCGGGTAGGTATTGCAAGAAAATGTCAATGAGTCCATGCCTCGTAAGGCGTAAGGGACCGCGTCCTATGAGGACCGCCGCAGCATCACGTTGAGTTCTAGAATGCTAACTTAGTTGCACACGAGGCTGGAAACCGACTTCGAGAAAACTTCTGAAGCTGCTAACACCATGAGTCGTTCGTAAGAAGAGCGTCATTGTAACGAGTCGGCCTTGAGCCTTGAGTTAAAAGTCCGACGGTCCGGCCTAATTAACCCATGAAGACCTTGGACTGTTCTGAAAACTAGTGCTTCGCAAGTTAAGCTGTTGCTGAGTCAGACACCATACTTACGTGAACATTAGGATGTGTTGGAGTGTCTCGAGATGCAATGTTAGCAAAGTGCTCGAGGCACAATTAGCTTGGTCTCTGTGCAACTGGCTGTGTCGATCCACCTTCTCAGCTTTGCACTGTTCTGAAGTGCAAGTGGTGTGAAGACCCTGGGGCGGAGTAAAAATGCAGTGAACTTGAACATGGGCAGTGGTGCATATGGCACCACTGACGTTGCCAATACCGTTAGACCCTTCAAGTAATGCTCCTAAACAGCCGTGGTCCCCTCTTTGGGGGTTTAAAAATTGCTGTGAAGGAATGCGGCCTCAATTCGCTGTATGGTGGTGGGGGATGGGGATTATCCCAAATAGGGGACACCGATTGAGTTAGACGTCCTTTGGGGGAGCTAAAGTTGCAGTGAAGAGTTGCCACATTCCGCCTGATAGCGGTCTGGCAACCCATATCAGCGCCATCGATGCGCGGCTGAGCAACATTTGTATCTTGGTCAGGGCGGGCTGAGGCTCTAAACATGTTGCGGACAGGGTAGAGTACTTGAGTCTGGAACAGGTCTGCTTTCGTGAACGACCTGGATTATGGTTAACAGCCTGTTCTTGCTTTCTATCCTGAGGCTTCGGGAAAGAACATGAATGTCGAGGACACTTTGTTAGCGCTTCCTCTTGCCGTGTGTATCTATAAGTCTGGGGCAAGAAAGACGACGTAGGATGGTTCTTTATTGAATATATTAAATACTCTGTCTTAGGAATTCTTGATTGAGTATACCTCCCCGAGCATAATTTCTCCTTATACAGAGAGACAAATTTGTTATCAATTTCAGGTGTCCGTCTTCTACAAGCGCGTTTAATCATATTGATCTAGATAGTGACGATAGTGACTTAGAGACACAAGATGAAGGCATTGAGTTAAGTCCTGTCTATAAGCTGAATACATACTTCTTTCTGATTTTAGAGACCTTTGAATGTCAATGCATGTGCCTCCACCAGTGACATACATTGAGTATTCTTTCTAACTAGGATAGCTGGATCGTTATCATGACAAAGTTGAGTGCTTCTAACTTCTCAAGCTAGACACACTCAATCAGGTACCCTAAAAATGAAAGAACATATCGTTGCTAGACGATCAAGCAGATACAATAGACTTTGAAATCTCCTGGACCAAAGCCTTCATCTCCTCGGTCGAGTGCTCCTTCAGGCCCAGCAGGTCGTTCTGCACGGTTTCGTAGCCGGGCTTCGCCTCCTCCGTCTGCGAGGCCCGGATAATGTATCCCAGCCAAACCCACTCGTCAAAGACGCCCTCGGACAGAGCCTTGTCCGACTTCGCCTGCACGTCCACCGTGTTCTCCTCCGAAATCGCCCAGCCATCGGCGCCCGTCACTGCCTGCGCGGCCTCCACGATATCGCGCTTCGACAGCTTCCCGTCGTGGATGCGAACCGTCTGGTTCTTCGTCGTGTCGGGGTTTCTCAGTACGCTGACGACAGCCTTTCCGACGGTCGAAAGCCTGGTCACACTGATGGGAAATGAACCCCCGTTGTAGATGGTGGCCTTCTTGCCGGCCACGTCGGCAATGAAGCCGACATTCAGACCCCAGTCGAGGAACAGGTTGTTGTAGATGAATGTGTAAGACAGGCCCGTCTCTGAGGCCCGCTTCTCAAGGAGGTCCTCGATTTTGACCTTATCGGCGAATACTGGCAGTGCACGGGCGAGGGGGTTCTGCAGGTCACTGCCGAACTCTGAAGGGATGAAGCGGGTGACGCCCGCGTCGATGGCGGCCTCGATCACTGTCTCCTGAAGGGAGAGTCCAGCTGATCCGATAGTGCTGACGACGGCTTCTTGGCCCTTAAGCGCGTCCGTAATGGCGGTCTTTGACGTGAAGTCGACCGTAACCT